TGACCTTGTTACAAGTAGCTTTCTACTCGAACCCATAATTTGTCATTTAAAAGAATCACTTCATGCCGTTTGACTACAAGATTTTTGGTAACTTATTTTTCTTTGCTTATCCTATTATTATATTTTAATAATTTTTAAACTTATCTTTTTGTGATTAATAACTTTTAATGTAATTTTTCAATATATAAATGTTATATATTAAAATTATATTAAATATTAAGAAAATCGAATTGTAAATAATTTGGGGGTTAGTCCATTAATCAAATTAGACACATAAAATGCGATGAAAGGAGTACAAATAATTTGCAGATGGTACATGGTACCATTGGTTCATTGAATATCATTTCAATTTTCAAGTATACATGTAACATGATCGATCAAAATTTTTCTAGTACGCACCCTCGAATAGTGACTACGACTTTTCCTCGTCACAAATAAAAATGATACAACTCTACATTCAACTTTGCATTATTGAAAACCATTTTAATACTACCAGGTACGACACATGACAATGTCACACCATTATAATACTAGCTATTCCATCTGTCTCATTTTATATGCATGGTTCGATTATCTAAATTTGAGTCGTCAATTATTTATAATTAAACATTTGTAATATTTAATTTAGTGTTATAAATAAATTTTATATATTAAAAAATTAAATTAAAATATTATTAAACACACAAAAATACTTTTAAAAATTAATAGAACCCATTCAAGAAAATAAACGAATAAGAGTTGATTTTATCCATAAATAATAAAGTGAAAAAGTAAAATTATAAGTATATCAAGAAATACATGATACAAAATATATGATTGTGTCATATACTATTTAAAATTATTTCTATACAGCTAGGTATAACACATTATTATATGAAGTATTACTAAAAAACCGTAATACCAAACACATGTTTATATATGACAACGTTTATTTTAACTTCTTTTTTTTTTTTTTTAAATATTCTCTACTTGTCCAATTAATCACTTTTTACCAATTTAACGGGTTTAATGGTTTTTTTTTCTAATAATTATTAGATGGTTAAATTTAATTATTCACTTGCTAGGAGGTGTAGTTTACGCTACTTTTTTCTTTGGAGGAAAATAAAATATATCGACCCTTTAAAGGAAAAAAATAAAATAAAAGTGCTATTGTTTATCTGCATTTTTAATTTGAAAATTAAATTTGAAATATTTTTCAAGTTTGTAAATACAAAATAGAGAGTTTTTAATATTTTATTTTATTTGAAAATATTAAAATTTTGAATACAATTCTTTTATTTATTTTTTTCTGAAAAAAAAAAAAAAGAAAAAAGAATGACAAGTTCCCCGTTTACACCACATGCATGCCTTTACTTTCTGGAAATTATATATTGGACCATTATTTTTATGGTGTTATAGCCAAGGCATCAATATTCAATAATCATTTATGCTATATAATAAATGCTTTATTTATTGACGATACCGATAGCGACAAACAAGTGTGGGGTTGCATTCATTGTATTTACTATTTGTGGTGTGCCAATTTGCAATTATAGATACAAACACACCATATACAAATTGAAACGGACTAACGGAGTATAACGTACATTTTGGGAAAATTTTAAAATCTCTCTCTTCATGAGGTCTGTTTTTAGTGCAATAATTGCATATTAATTAATTGGATTTTTTTTTTGAAAACAATTAATTGGATTGATAATATAAAGAAAACAAAATATTATGAACATATATTATATTGTAACCTAGTCAGTAGTACTTAAAAAAATATTAATCCACAAAAATATTTTTCTAACATTTCTTTAGTGATAGAGGAAAATCTGCGCAACCACTATTCGAGTGTGTACACTGGGTAAACTTCACTTTTGTGTAATAGATTACAAACTACAAAAGAAAGATAAACAATACTAGGAATACTTTGTAGGACGGGGTTGAGTGAGATAGTGTTGGACACCTTTTTCCTTGTAATAAAGTTACATTACTCTAAAAAAATTATTACAAATAATATCTATTTCGTAACGTATCATTATTTTATTGGATATTTTTTTTTAAAAAAAAATGATTATTGTGTGAACTGTTTATTCATTTATGGTAACACTGACCAATTTGCAAGTAATTAATGAAAATACATTTGTTCCTTTTTAAAAAAAAAAAAAATCAATTCTACGTAATATGTGGTAAACTTGATGTAATGATTTTAGTAATGAAAAATAACATTTTCCTTTTAAAAAAAATGATTATTGTTTTAGTTTGGAAAGCAAATCATATACCTACCAATACATATAATTGGAAAATTTTACAAACGGTAAAAATGCTAATTACTAAAAATAAAAAGTAATGAAATATATTTGTAATTTTTATCAGTTATATTATTGATTGAAAATCTAATGCTGGTAGAGTAATCAATTGATAAAATCTACTCAGGACACCTCGTGATATAACCACTTTTATTATTTTATAATCCCAAAAAAGTATTCTATGACTTTGTGTATGTGATCGACGGACTCAAGTACTCAACTTATAGTATTTTGACAAAAATTAAACTCGGAGACAATCAAATCTAAGTTGGTCAGGTTGGTGGATTGGTAACCACAAGTTTTCAAATTCGTCTCCCAATGAAAGCGGCCTATTGGCTAGCTTCTTGATTTAAGACGGTCAATTATGAATAATCTAGGTTAGTTTACCTTATTGTGATAATTTGTCCGGTAGGATTACAAGGCGGGATTACCCCATAATGCACTCTCTTGAGTAGTGATTGTGTTTCCCTCTTCAACAAAAACCAAAAAAAAAAATAAAAAATTGTGACCTTTTGATAAGAGAACCATATTTCCACCAACTCGACTACTCATTTTGAACATATTCGATCATATTTTGATTATTAAAAGTTTTTAAAATATTATACTTGGTAGAAGATGATTCACTTTGAACATTTAATTTGTACTTTGGCCTTCATGTTTCAAACTTTGTCACCAAATAACATTAGTTATTATCTTCTAACAGGACAGTGTAGGTTTCTTGTAACTTTTTTTTCTTTTTTTCTTTTTTTCTATACTATAAAGGAAAAAGGACTGTAAAACTTTTATTTTAGGTATTAATTTATTTTTTCTAAAGTTAGTAAATTTGATTTATTGTTAGTATGTACTTGTCCTCAATTGTATATCATTCGTTGCAACAATTCTTTATATATATATAAAAATATGAAGAATATACTATTATACATGTATATGATAAACTCTAGTGTAATTGGATCAAATACAAATTAGTTTCATAGTAATAAAAAGGAGAAAACATTGAGGATGCTACCAAACTTTTACAATTTGTACAATTAAATCACTGAAGAGAATAGTTGTGCAATTAAACTATTTAACATTAGAAATTTGGACAATTAGTATTATTTAACTTGGTTTAAGGTTAGATTTTTTGAAAGCAATCAAATCAGTATATATTAGAGATATAAGCTGAAATAGAGTCAGGAGGGATATCATCTCAATACATAGCTGTAGACTGACCAAATGCTATAGAAGCTAAAGTATGAGCTAGTAAATTATTCGATCTAGGAATAAACTTGATTAAACAATAATCGGAATAAGAAATAACAGATCTGCAACTATCAACGGCATAGCCGACGTACGAACGAACTGGAACACTGGTGGAAGACAGATAATGCTGAAGAGTTAGGCAATCCGTGAGAAGCTCTATAGACCGTTCCCTGCGATCCCTCAGCTAGGACAAGACTTCCTTGCATGCGAATGCCTCGGCCATTAACGGAGAGAAACAATCATGGAGATTGGCGTTGAAGGCCGCAACATAACCCCCATTCTCGTCGAGAATCACCGCTCCAACCGAGGCTTTGTTTGTCGCAGGGTGAAATCCGGCGTCGAATTGATATGTGCGCGACAGTAGTGCAGTTGCATGATCCGGGTTGGCAGAGTGGGTTGCGACAGCCTCGGCAGTGGACGGCTGGTGGCTGCTGCCCGGATGCACCCGGCGCCAAGCGTGCATGGCGGCAGTGGCGGTCGCCAAGAGTTTCTTCGGCGTCGGAAGGTAAGCATCCCAAACCGCACCATTTCTTGCTCTCACAATATAATATAGAATAGCAGCTGTGAACATGATTTCATTAGTGTCTAGAATATTCATAGCGTACTTCACCAAATCAAGAATGAAAAATATTTGTCACAATATTGAGAATTGGAAGGTGGGATTCACGCCATATGGAACTTGCAAAATCACACAATACTAAAGAATGCATAGTATCCTCATGAGTAATACCACACATAGCACAAGTATGATCAACCTCCCCTCTCTTTATAAGCAAGTTCTTGGTAGTGGGAAGAATATCACTTAAGGCTCTCCATATAAAAGTTTTTCATTTAGGGAATTTTAAGTTTCCATATGGAGGGTCACTTATCAAAATTGCCCTCATAATCAACATAATTCCAACAATAAATCTGTAGCCACTTTTAACAGAATAGTAACCTTTTAGGATCTCCATGTCAATACCAAGTATCCTAGTTTGGAGAAATAGGTATCTTCAAAATAAGAGCCACGTCCGTAGGCAAAAAAAAAAAATCAGACATAATTGAATGGTTCCGTGAACCAGTATCCTGGTCAATCAATACTGGTTTAAGGTGAGATGATTTAACACTTTTCTCCTAATACAAATACTAAATTATATATGTAAAAAATATATATGATGTAAATATGCAATGAGAGCATTTGAAATTTAACAAATATGGAGTAACTAATAGTAACCCATTGTTTTACAAATATTATTAATATTTTTACAAAATGAATTTAATAAATTAAATTTTTATTAATAACTAATAACATATCCCATGGATTAAAAGTAAAATTTACTGAAGAATCATGATGTTTACCTAGCAGTGTAGCACCCTTAGATTGCCTCAATATATGGGGTTTGTCCGTTTGTGATTGATATAAGTGTTGATAAAGTTTCGGTCAAAGTGAGGGGCAAAATAGACCAAAGGATCAATGGGCATGAACTTTAAACGACATTTTAAGCTTCTTCTCCAATCTCTCTCTCCTATTATACATGATCACGCAACGCTCCAACTTCCTTCCCTCTACTCATGCTTTAACAGAAAAAGGAAAAATTACCGTTTCCTTATTCAGATGAGAATTGCATCTGAACGGCTCTATCTGAAACCTAGAGCCTGATTTGCTCGTGAACAGTGAGATTCGGAAGCTTACGTACGCCGGCGGAGTTTTGTATGGATAAGGAGGAGGTAGATATAGAGAATGCGGCGGAGAGGAACGGAGCTGGTAATTGGGAGCGGGAACGGCACGATGACGGGGCGGAGAGTCACGATGAGTGGGCGTCGGGGCAAATCAGGGAGCCTTTGCTTCTTTCCAAGAGCAGAGTCAATAACACATCGCAGATTGCCATTATTGGAGCCAACGTTTGCCCCATCGAAAGCCTCGATTACGAGTATGTTCTGTTCGGTGTTGATATGCTATTGTGTTTCTCACTTTAACTACTTTATATTTGTAAAATCCAGAAAGTGCTAACTGTTTTTTTTTCCCTCAATTTCTCAGTGTTATTTTTGAAATTGAATTTTGTCTCTATTTGACTGTTAAACGAGTCATTTCTCCCTAGTATTAGAGTTTTTGGAATAAGGAATCGGACACTTTTGTATTATTGGGAGGAAGATGAAAGTTATGCCTACGGATTAGGATTTGGGTACAAGTATAATTAGTTAGCACAGTTGGATCATTTTGATTTTTCTCATTATGCTTTTCTCTTTTCAATTATTGTGTTTTCGGTTGTTTTGCTATTACTTTTTTTTTTTTTTTTTTTTTTTTTTTTGGGAGTTACGGATCACATGGTGTACGGGTCAGCTTAGATCTATTTGCCGAATTGGGCTTTTGACTGATATTGGCTTGCGTGCAAAAGCTTTAATGTAATGTACGAACTTATTGTATTGGGTATGGATGGAGTATACATGGAACTTATGTGCAAGGATGCAATCATGCCACTTTCTATACATTGCTATTATCTGCAGTGGGGTATCTAGCAGTTAAATTCCAATTTCACTCCCTTGTTATTTAATGTGCAGGATTCTTGAAAATGACCTAATTAAACAGGATTGGAGGTCAAGGAAGAAGGTTCAGATATTCCAATACATATTTCTCAAATGGACGCTTGCATTTCTCATTGGATTGGTTACAGGGATTGTAGCCCTTTTTAATAACCTTGCAGTGGAGAATATTGCTGGTTTCAAACTTCTACTTAGTAACAACTTAATGCTCAAGGGAGAGTAAGCTCTGTTCCATTAAATCTTAATTTATGAAAATTTTCATGCTTTAATTTCATTTGCAACTATTATTATGTGTGTCAATTGTCTTTTTGAGCTACAAGCTGTTTGGTTGATGTTATGTTGAAGATGCTTTATAAGCCTATTAAGGATCTTTTGACTAGTGTGCTTTACCTGCCACACCATAATTTGGCATTTTACTGGCTCCATGAAGGAAGTGACACTACATTGGATTCATTCATATGCACAATTCCCAGCAGAGTCTGAGCTCACAAAGTCTTTATTGGTTACAAAATATGTTAGCTTTATATGTTTATTTCAGTGTAACGCCATAACAAGATCTAGTTATTTCATTTGTTTTTATTCTTTGGTAGTGATTTTAAATTCAGTGCAGGTATTTTCAGGCATTTGCTGCAATGGCTGGTTGCAATCTGATTCTCGCAATTTGTGCTGGATTCCTATGTGCATTTGTTGCGCCTGCAGCTGCTGGCTCTGGTATTCCTGAAGTGAAAGCATATCTCAATGGTGTGGATGCTCATTCAATATTGGCTCCAAGTACCCTATTTGTCAAGGTAGGTTTGCCTTATTTTTCACGCACAAAAACCTGCATATAAAAATCTGAGTTAAGCCGTATGCTTAAAATGACACTATGGATGACAGTGTAAACGAATTAGGGTGCAAAACAAATACCATTGACAGTAAGGAAAAAATTATTAGTTCAAACAAAGGAGCTTTGCCTTCTATGGGAGTGACTTCTGATTCAGAGCTTGTATTACCTAAATCAGTTTTGTTTCTTTATTTTTATTCTTCTTTAGCTTCAAACTGCCTAAAAAGCTGGTGTATTCTACCATTCCAATATTGTTAGGTTCCTATAAGCACACTGTTTTTTTTTTTTTTTTTTCTTCTCACTTTCAAGAAGGTATATGCTTATTATTTGCAGAAGAACTAGATTTTTATTTGTACATTGCAACTTTGCTGGACAATTCCCTCTTACTCATGATGCAATTGGTAACTTAGTTTTGCTATGAAAATGTTTTGGTTCATGAGATTACACATTTGTTGCTTACTTTGTAAGTACTTGTTTTATTGTTAAGCTGCTACGCCAATTTCATAGCTTCAAAGACTCAAATAAATTATTGTAATTCATTGAACTTGGCAGATTTTTGGTTCCATCTTTGGTGTTGCTGCTGGATTTGTTGTGGGAAAAGAAGGGCCCATGGTTCATACAGGTGCTTGCATTGCAAACTTACTTGGACAGGGAGGTTCCCGCAAGTATCGTTTGACTTGGAAATGGCTTAGACTCTTCAAAAATGACCGGGACCGTAGGGATTTGATCACCTGTGGAGCTGCAGCTGGTGTTGCAGGTGCTTTCCGTGCCCCAGTTGGAGGTGTCCTTTTTGCCCTTGAAGAAGCTGCCTCATGGTCTCTCTCTCTCCCTCTGAATTTGGGCTATATTTATTATTCTGACTACTTCCTCTTTCATAAAACCAATCAGATGACAAACAGTCAATCATCACCACTTGTTGGGCATATGAAATTAATGATAGAATGGAGTAAATATATTCTAGCATCTAGTTTGATGAAAGTGTTGCCCAACACAAAATGTAATTGAAAATTAGAGTTTCTTAGCAAAGTTATCTTGTTGTGCGGCCCCACGCCCTTTAAGTTTTGATAGTTATCTTTTTAGTTATTCATTTTAGGTGGCGGAGTGCACTTCTTTGGAGGACCTTTTTCACAACTGCTGTAGTGGCTGTGGTTCTCAGAACTTTTATCCAATTTTGTCGGTCTGGGAAATGTGGGCTATTTGGGCAAGGAGGCCTGATTATGTTTGATATTCATTCAACCGTGCCTAACTATAACACTATAGATATGCTGGCAGTTATGTTACTTGGAATACTTGGAGGTGTTTTGGGAAGCCTATACAACTATCTTGTGGACAAGGTTCTTCGAATCTACAGCATTATCAATGAGTATGCCCTTTAGTCGCTTCTTATGATGCCATATTATATATTTTCTTGCCTTGTTTTGTTCTGGTCTTTTACAACTGAGCAAGCATAATTATTAGCAATATTTTAATGTTCTACACTAACTTTCCATGTGGGTGCATAATTTCTGCTTGTGGTAGTTTCATGATGTGAAGATTCTTTAGAAGCATGTACCCTGCTTCTCTCATTCTCTGTAGTGTAACTAAAGGATTTTTCTCTTTGCCCTTGTTGACATGAAGTTGTAATTAACTATTTCACTTGAGTTTTAAAACATCATCAATAGAGTGGCAGGTGAGCAGTGTCCTAGTTGCATGATAAGGTTGCTGTATTCCCTTTTCTTTTCCAAGTTACTTCATCTTAAAAATGTGATTATGTCTTTGACATACTTGTTAAAATTTTGTCTTTGCCATAGTTCACAGAATGTGGATTTTCATGGTTCCTTTTGGTCTTATGTTGATTTTTTCACGCTATGCAGAAGAGGTCCAGGTTTCAAGATGTTGCTTGTCATGACCATTTCTATCTTGACTTCTTGTTGCTTGTTTGGCCTTCCTTGGTTGGCATCATGCAGACCTTGTCCTCCAGGGTTGGAGAGTGAATGCCCTACCAAAGGTCGATCTGGGAACTTCAAGAATTTCCAGTGTCCAGCAGGGCAATACAATGATCTTGCTTCCCTCTTTCTGAACACCAATGATGATGCCATACGTAATTTGTTCAGTTCAAGAGATGAGAGTGAATTTCTACTCTCTACCCTATTTGTGTTTTTTGTTGGGGTTTACTTCCTTGGGATTGTTACTTATGGAATTGCTGTTCCATCTGGGCTCTTCATTCCTGTCATCCTTGCTGGATCCTCATATGGGCGTCTTGTTGGGAACTTCTTGGGTTCTGTCTCCAACCTTGATGCGGGTCTCTTTGCCCTGCTTGGTGCTGCCTCCTTTCTTGGTGGGACGATGAGGATGACCGTGTCACTATGTGTCATACTGCTCGAACTCACAAATGATCTCTTAATGCTCCCACTCATGATGCTAGTTCTGCTTATATCGAAAACCGTGGCTGATTGTTTTAACAAAGGGGTCTACGACCAAATTGTGAAGATGAAGGGTTTGCCTTTCATGGAAGCTCATGCTGAACCATACATGAGGCATTTGGTTGCTGGGGATGTTTGCTCTGGACCCCTAATAACCTTTTCTGGTATTGAGAAAGTGGGCAACATCTTTCATGCTTTAAAGATAACTGGACACAATGGGTTTCCGGTGATTGATGAGCCACCTTTCTCTGAATCACCAGAGCTATATGGGCTTGTTCTTAGGTCACATCTGCTCGTTTTGCTGAATGGAAAGAATTTCTCCAAACAGCAGGGGTTGATGGGCTCACAAATCTTGACGAGGTTTCACGCATTTGATTTTGCAAAGCCGGGTTTAGGAAAGGGGCTTAAAGTTGATGATTTGAATATCACGGAGGAGGAGATGGAGATGTATGTTGATCTCCATCCTATCACAAATACGTCTCCTTACACTGTAGTGGAGACGATGTCTCTGGCAAAAGCTGCAATACTCTTTCGAGAGCTTGGTCTCAGACACTTGTGTGTTGTCCCAAAGCGACTTGGGGTAACGTTTTTCTTTTCTTTTCTTTTCTTTTGCCTCTCATCACGACTTTGCTACATAATCTTCTGTCCTTAAAAGGAATTTGAAAACTCCTTTGTCCTTTATGATAGCATCATTTGTGGCTTCTCAGTTCTAACTTGTTAACATTTTCATCGTCGTTTTCTTTGCAGAGACCACCAATTGTGGGAATCTTGACGCGACATGATTTCATGCCCGAGCATATCTTGGGACTCTACCCTAGCATCAATCCCCACGGCCATGGCTAGTCGGGATTCGGTGAGTCTGCATTGGCAAAGGTCCCCATTATTCCCTTTTCTGAAGTTTCAGAGAGAACTTTGGTTATTTACATAGCATTGTGTTACTGTAACGGCATTGCGTTACATAGAACATAATGGAGAAATAGAGTCAACGTACTAAACTGTCGCCGCATGCAAAACAAAGTTGTTTGTTTGTTTACGCATTCGTAGACAAACGTAAAAACAGTACGTAGTAATAATGTGGTCTCATACTTCTGTAAGTTTATTCGTTTTCGAGTGCCAAATTAGCGCTCGTATATGTATTGAACTGTGTAATATTTGTCGTTTTTGGGTGCGAAATGAGCAGTTGGGCACTAGTATTTGTATTGTAGTACTTAGTATTATTTATGTGAATTTATTTAATAATTTGACCTTGTTCTACTTAGTATTATTTATGTGAATTTATTTAATAATTTGACCTTGTTCGGCAATTTTTTTTTTTTTTTTTTTTTTTTTTTTTTTTTGATTAGTTCATTTTTCCTTGCAAGGCAGAATTTCAAGAAATTTGTAATTGAAAGTTGAAACTACTGGTGAATGGTGATTAATAGCAAAATATGCCAAATGATTATGTGAATTGCTTTGAAATATAATCAAATATCCAATGCAAAACTTCTATACAAATGTCAAGCGATGCTCGTATAAGATTTTATACAGAGTATACTATTTTTATTGAGTGTGTGTGTGTGTGTGTTTTTTTTTTTTTTTTTTTTTTTTTTTTTTGTATTTTATAAAAATTGAATATAATTTGTTTCTTTATATTAATGATGTTGTGCAGTACTTATAATTCAATATAATTTTCATTTATAATATTGCTTAAGTGGCACGATGTGATGCCTCTCATAGTATTTGCCACCTTCGTCATGAAGATTAAACATTTGAGAGAATTTTTATAATACATTATTGTAAAAAGTTAAATAAGAAAAAATTGAAATCTTTTAAAAGCTTTTTCTGAAGAAGTTATAGAAGCTAGTCTTTGATTTTCTTATATGCGCTTTAAGCCTTTAAATGTGATTTGAAATAATAATAATAATAATAATAATAATAATAATAATAATAATAATAATAATAATAATAATAATAATAATAATAATAATTATTATTATTATTATTATTATTATTACTACTACTACTACTATTATTATAATTATTATAATAATAATAATTATTATTATTGTTATTCTTATTATTGTTATTATTATTATTTTATTGTTATTATTATTGTTATTATTATTTTTATTACTGTTATTATTATTATTATTATTATTATTATTATTGTTGTTGTTGTTGTTGTTGTTATTGTTATTGTTATTCTTATTATTGTTATTGTTATTATTATTGTTATTGTTATTATTATTCTTTTTATTATTATTATTATTATTATTATTATTATTATTATTATTATTATTATTATTATTATTATTATTGTTATTATTATTATGACAAACACTACAATCTCGATATCTCTATCTCTATATATATTAAAGCAAAATGATGGCCAAAATTTTTTTTCTTCCAAAGTGTGAAAGCATTTATTGTATTCACATCACATGAATTAATATTTATTATATATCAATTCTTATTTTAATTAATTAATTAATTATATATATATATATATATATATATATATATATATATATATATATATATATATATATATATATATATATATATATATATATATATATATATATATATATAAACAAAATCCTAGACCTGGCAATTCGTGTATACGGGTCCGTTAACAGGTCGACACGAACACGATAAGGCTAAACACGAACATGACACGTTATGGTTAACGGGTTCAAATTTTTAATACGAACACGATTTGTTAACGGGTTGACACGATAGACACGTTTTGTTAACAGGTTTCAAGTCGTGCTGACACGATATGACACGAAACTCGTTTAAACCCGCTATTTCTATTAATATGTTTAAAAAAACTAAAATTTAAAATTAAGTTCTATAAAAAAAAAATAAACCTATAGTTCAATCCAACAAACAAACTAAAAAATATTCAATCCATAACATTCATAAAATGATAAAATAACATCCAAAAATCATAACTAAAGGAGTCCATACTAGTTTTTGGAATCAATTGAACACAATAAAAATTCAAATTTTAAATTGTTGAATAATGGTGTAGGATTTTGGCCTAATGTAGGAAATTCATCCTTAGTCATGTTCATAATATTTTTTGTAATCTCATTCATGACAATGATTCTTAGCGGGTTATAAACATGTTTGGTAAACGGGTTCGTGTTAAATAGGTTAACACGATAATATTAACGGGTTAAACGGGTTCTTAATAGGTTTACCGGGTTGACCCGTTAAGACACGAAACATAACGAGTCCTTAATGGGTCAACCTGGGACACGTTAAGGCTGAACACTAACCCGTTATTTTCGTGTTCGATTTCGTGTCGTGTTAACGAGTCGTGTCCATAATTGCCAGGTCTACAAAATCCTCCTATATCATTAAAAAAAAAAAGTAAAATGGAAATTAAGAATGGGTAATTTATTTTATGGAAACAAATAAAGTAATTAAGTATAATGGGAAAATTCAAGAATCGGTAATTTATTTATGGAAGCAAATAAAGTAATTAAGTATAATGGGAAAAATTCATTAGTACTTCTTCGGATTAAATATGGAACGAAACTGAAATAATATATTTACCAAAAATAATTAAATGTTTATGTAAATAATAATGCATAATTATGGTATCTTCATAATTACGGTCAAATGAGTACATAATTATACATATTGCATTATTTTTGTAGAATAAGAATATTACCGTCAAATGAGAACATAATTGGTAATTGGTAATATAATAAATACAATAACCATAACCTAATTTGTTATCTACATTCTTCTAGGATATAAATACATATTAGCATCCATCTCAAACTACCATTACAGTATACATAGATGTAGAGTTTGAGTGCAATTCAAATACATAGCGAACAACCTAGGTTCGCCACCGTAGTTTCGATCATGGCTCCTATTAGGGAAAAAACTCTTAGACACTGTCAATTGTAAGATAATAAATACGGAGTATCTAACAGTAGTGAGGGGGGCTTCATATGCGCAGTAAACAAAGGTCTAGCCTCTATGGTTCAGTTGACTTACCATGATTTACATCATCTCAGATGCTCTGTCGAGTCGGGGTGTGGGGGGCCCTTATGGTTGGAGCAACTAATCGCTTTAGCCAAATCATGAGCACTGAGTAGGCTGGTTCGCTGACAATCAATGTGATGAACTACACAAGAACTAAATGTGTTAATGAGGTTCATACATGCATGAGTAACTAAGCCAACACAAAAGAGATCCCCAATCTCTTGGCAGCCACACACCTCCAAAACATATTGCATGATGCAGCCATCACTATATAATAGTCTATACAAAGTTCCTTACAACAAAGGACTAATGACTCACGTTGGGCACGTTGAGTTGCAATAGCTGCTAAACACGAGACACAATCGATAGGTGCAGAGTGCATGAAACACAGTTTCCTGCTCCGATCCACAAACTGGGCATGCAAGATCCACTTCCACTTTCTTCTTAAGTAGGTTGGACGTGATGGGAAGGATTTCTTTCCAGCTATCAAGAGGAATGAGCGCCCCTTGGGAGGGGCTTTAGACCCCAAAGCTTGTTCCAAACTCCTTCCTAAAGGGGTGCATGTAGGGTGGTTGACGACACCATTTGTGAGCAGTCTATACCCATTGTGAACCGAATATTGACTTCTCAAGTCCTTATGTGGCTGCCAAGAGATTGGGCAGATTAAACAAATGATGAGGAGCTGCCATCCTGCTTACCCAAATGAGGCAGGTTAAACAAATGTAGTTGCTTAAAGCCTAGGCCACCATTTTCCTTAGGGATGCTCATAGGATCCTAAGCTAACCGATGGATACTCCTTTTATCACTACCGTTCCACCATCAGTATTTGTTCATGCAATAATATTTTCACACAACTATTTGGGGAGTAGGAAAGCGCTCATAGCTTGCGCCAAGTTCTTGAGTAAAAACCTCTTTTCCTATATGAGAAAGAAACTTTTTGTTCCATGCCCCTATCTTCTGCCTAAGCTTTTGCTCAATGTTAGAAAAAACAACCTTCCTATTAAGCCCAATAGGGGAGGGGAGGCCTAGATACTTCCCAAAGTCTGGAACTTGAGTCACATTAAGCATATTTTCCACTGTTGGGCGTTTGTCGGGTTGGCCGAGTTCAGCTCTTGCTTGATTCGAGACGTGATGTTGTGGCTTACCATGGAGGGATGTGGCTAAATAGTTAATGTCCACCTACTTATCACCAATTAGTTTTAAGTAGGATATGACAACCAGATAGTCAAAGAACTATGTGGTCAAGCGTGCTTGACTTACAACAGTCACGTGATGAGTGAACCACTGGGAAGTAAGCATAGTACAATACTGAGATCTAACAATTGGTATCAGAGCCGAGGTCACGGGTTCAAATCGATGGCGAGGCAAAAACCGAGTCCAGGTCTAGTCCCGGATGGGATATGGGTAAAGGTCTGGCCCAGTCTAGTCCTAAGAGGGGATGATGGGCGCGTAGGATAAGGATCGAGTCAGGCAAGTTGCAATTGTGCTTGGTGTTCAAAGGTTGTGGCAGGTGCTGGGAGGGAGATTGTTGGGCATCGGTCGGGTTGGCCGAGTTCAGCCCCTGCTCAAATTCGAGACGTGACACTATGGCTTACCATGGAGGAATGCGCTTATCACCAATTGGTATTAAGTACGATATGATAACCAGATAGCCAAAAAACTCTATGGTTAAGCGTGCTTGACTTTCAGCAGTCACATGATGGGTGACCCACTAGGAAGTAAGCACTCGTAGAAGTGAGAGGCCCTTTACACATATTGGGCATGTAGAAATATAACTGAGAGACCCTCTGCACAAATGATAAAATGGTACAAGGAGAGGGGGGTCCCTTTGTCTAAGCCCACATGTGGGGAGATTGTACCACTCGAACTACCATTTACTAGGATATTATACTTGGCTGTGGTGACACACAACATCACCTTATCCACCCATTCACTCACAAACCCCGTCATTGTAATCTCTCTCTCTCTCTCTCTATATATATATATATATATATATATATATATATATATATATATATATATATATATATATATATATATATATATATATATATATATATATATAAAGCCCACTCCATTTGATCATAATCCAATTTCATGGCCACCACTTTCCCAAACTGCTCCCTTCTCAATAAATGACCAACTTCTGCAGCAATCAAAATAGTATTAGTTAGTTATCAATCTATTAGGGATGAACACACTCTAGGACTCAGAAATGACATCCTCTAGCATAGGCTTCACCCTATTCGCCATCATCTTGGCCATAATCTTATACACCATATTACATAGGACAATGGGGTTGGTCAGCCATTATGTCAGGAACCTGCTTCTCAGGAATAAGAATAATATTAGTATCATTAAGATGATCAGGGAAGACCACATCACTTAAGCACTACAAACTCACAAACATTACCACCAACTACATTCCAAAAACTTTGATAAAAACCAAGGTCCATGCCATCATGGTCGGGGGACTTGTCTAGCCACATAGAGAAAAGAGCCTTCATCACTTCTTCATCAACAGTAAAAGGGAGAAGCAGTGGGTCGTTTTGAGTCCGACCAATGCAGACCTATAAAGAATCCAAAAAAAAAAAAAAAAAACCCCATTTCCTGACTCCTATCTTGTAAACAAAAAATGCTACTGTAATACTCTAGGACCACCGGTTGGATAGTATATTATCCCCCCCCACCCACACACCTTCGTCATCTCTTACTCTAACAATCAGATTCTTACTTCTCCTAGCATAGACATACTTGTGGAAGAACTTAGTATTAGAGTCAGCATTGTGGAGCCAGTGTTACTTGGTCGTTTGCTTCTAGAATGCATTTTTATGATTAAGCAATCAGAGCAACCCTCTTAGTCGGCCACCACACCTACACAACCTCTCCTGCAACTGTAAATGACTGACTCTACCTAGGATTCCTCAACTACACCCCAACAACCCTCATCCAACAGCCATGTGTTTTCAAATCGAAAGTGACCCCCACCTCGACTCTCCAACGGACAGTCATGAATATCCAAAAATAAACCTAAGTGGTCGAATGTGTAGGTACTAATATTAAACACCATTGCTTTCCTGAACACCCTCTTCGCCACCACCCTATCTAACCTCTCATCTACTCACTCCCTCGTCCCCCTCCTTCTTTCCAAAGTAAATGGATAGCCCATCGTAGGAACCTGCAGGAGCATAGAGTCAACTAGCGTTTCATTGAAACCCTGTAAAAGGTTAATTAGGTGCAGGTGCAACCCCCTCTCCCTCCCCCTCTTCTCTTCTGAGTAGCAAGGTCATTAAAATCTCCCATTACCCCCACAGTAGTTGGGATCTAAACTTGAGAGCCCGCAAAAAATCCTGCGCCTCCCTATGCCAACTCCTTTTTTAGAAAACCATTGTAGCCTGTCAGGCACTAGGGTTGAAAGCCTAAGATCGAAATGACAAGATTAATGCGATTTATGGAGTAGCTCAAGAGACTGGCCATACTATTGTGTTTCTAAAACAAGGCTAACCATCCACTCAGATCGACTGGTTCCAGATAAAAAAACCTCTTCAAAATCTAACTTCACCCATAGACGATAAACATGAGAGTGTCCTACCTTCGTGTTCATCAAGAAAATCAAGTCGTTTTTTTTTGGACACCATGTCTACCACCTGGCGAACTATACATGGATCGCTCAAATGACGATAGTTCCACTCAAGGTACTCATTGCGAAGGGCAGATTTGGAGTTCAGAACCTGCTAACAAACCAACAGATGCTTCCCCCCATCACGGTATCCCTCACCCCTTTAATATCGTTACTTAAACTCCCCTTGCCCCTTATTCTCTTTAGCTCAGCTGCCAACTCCCATCCTTCCCCCTTTTCTTTGCTCATAAAACCTACTCGAACCCTCTCCCCCCGCCGTCTATTCACCACCAGTCATCCTCCCTCCCGACGCTAACAACTATCTGCCCAAACGATCGGACAACAGGACACCTGCCATCTCGCACCCAAGTTACAAGAACCCTTATGCAAACCCGCCCTCAACCAGGCACCATACGGGTACGTCTTCGGAGAAGCCTGAGTCAACCGCGCCTTCAAAAAGAACTGATCCATCTTATGTAGATTTTAGCTCACTATTCATCAAACACTTATTCTATCACGATTCAATTAAATAAAATTTTGTCACATTAAATTTGACCCGTTCCATCTTAAATTAAAACGAGATTACAAAGTTTAAATGCATTTAATATTTCCTTCCTATAAACATTAAACCTTTCCCTTTATGGCAATGCTCAAAATTTGTTGTTTTAGGTATGCATTTATGGTTTTCAAAAAAAGGTATGCATTTATTACCTTTTTCAAGTTAGGTAAAACAATAATTAAAAAAAATCGTATAATTTTATATAACGGTCACAAAATATTAAAAAATTTAAATGTCAAATTTTCGTATTAGTTTTAATATTAAAATAACAATATGTGATATAATATAAACACATTTGGAAAAAACATTATGTATAATATTTGTTGTTATTTTAACCTATTTTGTAAAGTAAAGGCTATATCCCATATATATATTCTCTTCCAAAAAAACACCTCACTTACCAAATGATGCAGTGTTATTCTCCCATGCAGAATTCCACCAACTTTTTCCACTCTGCCACATTCTATTTTCCTTTCCTAGGTAGCAGATATAGTATGTGCATGGCAGATATAGTACATGCATGCCGATATAGTATATACATATGGGATAACGCCTGAAATAGAAATTCAATGAATACGATGATTCCAGGCGACTGTCTCGATCGGAATGAAATGTTTTACCTCATTTTATTTGATTCTTGAAGGCCATTTATGATTATAAATTCTGGCAAAGACTGGTTTTTCCATGTATAATATATAAGCTAAGGTGGGTTATATGGTGCCGGGGATACATAGCTAAACTGTTTATAACAATGGAGAATATTGAGACTAACGAATCTGTTGTAGTTAACAGGTGTGGTATATATGTTGTTCATTTTCATTTCATGGGTTACGTTATAAATAGCGAATGGATCGGAGAATGCGGGGAAGCGTTAGTAGATAACATGAGTGTTCTTGTCGGGTTAGAATGTGGGTGCTCGGGGACAAGGGAATATCTCTTTTGTGAGCAACATAGGTGTGTCGATCTGTATGTGTTGCTTGTTTTCCTTTCATGATTTATGTATGTTTATCTGGTTTTGTTTTCTTGCTAGATTCTCGTTTTAATCTGTAATGGATCGGATGTGTTGAAATGTTCTTTGATCTTTTGTTTATATCTGACAGATTCGTGATGTGATTATCATTTGTGCAAATAGAGAATTGGTTATACATGGAATTCCTGGAAGATTGAATTCATCAGAGTTGTATAAACACTTCTTTTAGTGCAAAAAGTAAAATCATTGCTTTTTTTTTTTTTTTTTTTTTTTTTGGATGAACAATAAGGGATGAACGAAAACCCCAAGGGGAAAGCACAAAGAAACCCCAAGTTTTTATTCTCCCTGGCACAAAGAAACCCCAAGTTTTTATTCGAAATAGCATGATTGAACAAGTTGTTGATGATACAACATAAAAGGGGAAATCACCATTTTCCCCCTCGTGTAGTTTCCAGTTTTCAATTGACTCAATTGTTAGTGTAGTTTTCAATTTTCAATTTCAATTAGTTAGATCCTCAAATTGTTTAAAATCTTGTTAATTAAACTCTTTGAGAATTGCCAGGCACCTTGTGAGGTGTTGTTGACTTTTTGACTTCATTAGGTTGAGAAAATCATGAGATCCAGGCCAGAGTAGAACCAGCATTTTGGTCACTTGTAAGGGTTTATTTGGGGAGGAAGTTGAGAACTTTTTTTTTATTTATTTAGTTGGGGACTCTTTTTGTCCAATCTTTAAGGGCAAACATATTTGTGATTTTAGAAAGTTTTATTAGAAAAAAAAACTAGGGGATTGTGGATTTTTTTATATAGTTTTTTCTCCTCCAAGTAACAAATTTTTGCAGGACTCACAGAGTAAGAAAAAAAAAAAAATAGGCGCACTGTTGTGCCCAGTTAGTGTGTGCCTTTTTTTTCTGTTGGTTTTGTTTTTGCATCAGGTTTTATTTTCCTCTTTTTTCTTCTTCAATTCTCTCCCTTCTCTTGCTATATGACCCCGTAAAAATTAACCTAAAAACCAAACAAATTAGGTTGCTCTAAGCATTCCTATTTTTGTAACACATGCATTAAACCTTTCCATTTGCAGCTATAATTCTAGAAGTGTGTAATATTTACTACTAAAACTTTTAGTGTGTGGAGGTAACACATCCCTCACACCCTAGGTAGAGTGTTTATGGATTTTGAGTGTTTAATTTGTACACATTTTTTATATGACTGGACAAAATACATTGAGTGAATGTACATTCCTATATCTATGAAATATACTATGTGTACTCGGATTCTCTATTCTGAATTTTTATTTCAATTCTTGAAATTTTGATGTAGATACTTATAATGAAACTAAAGACAAAAAAATGTAGTTTATCGGTGTCAAAGAGTATTATATTTATATAGTTTTTTCAATTGTTTGCAGAAAAAGACAAAGGAGACCGAGCGTTAAGGTGTCGGAAGCCGCGGCTGCATCAAGTAATGGGACTCCTGAAACGAGCAGAAGAAGAAGGAAGAAGAAGGCTAGGGTGGAAAGCAGCGAAGAAGAAGAAGATGAAGATGAAGTTGAAGAAGAAGAATATGAAGATGAAGTTGAAGAAGAAGAAGATGAAGAAGACGAAGAAGAAGAAGAAAGGGTGCCTTTAACGGCGTCGGGGAGCACGGTTGTTGAGCAGGGAGAAGACGCGAATTCCCGGCGGTCGGCGGTGACCACCACCAGGCTGGTGGGGAGGATCTGGGAAGAGTATTTCTCCAGTAGTTCTGAAACGACGGGCAAGGGAAAAAAGAAGAAGAAGCCGGCGAGATCGAAGAAAGTTGCTGAGAAATGGATGCCTTATTATCAATCTCCGAGGAAACAGGCGGGTACAAATAGCAGAAACGAGGTTTCATGGATTGCCGGAGCAACCGGGGTAACTTCTGACGACGACGGCGGCGGCAATGCGCTTTATTACGGCGGAGTCTCCATCAATGGAGTTTTGGTTTCTCCCGGCTCCGTCGTGCTGGTGAATCAGCCTCGACGCGGCCGAGACTCCTACATTTGTTTAGTGGAATACATGTTTCAATCCTCGGACGGGACAAAGGTTGTCCATGGACGGGTAATGGTCGGCGCATTCGAGACAGTCCTAGGAAACAATGCCGACAAGAGGGACCTCTGCCTAACGGAGGACTGCCTCAACTTCTATCCCTCCGACGTGACAAAATTGTTGGACGTTAAAATCCAACCGAAACCATGGTCCCATCAGCACAGAAATCGCACGGAAGAAAAAGAAGACCCAGAAACAAAATATTTCTGCAAAAACTTATACTGCTCGGATAAAGGCGGGTTTTTCAGTTTAAAAACCGAATCCATAGGCCTCGGCAATGGCCATTGCCATTCCTGCAAAACAAGAAAATCCCAGGAAGAAAAGAACACATTCTCGTATTGTGTACCCACGAATAGCTTCACATATCAAGGGATTCACTACGAAGCTCTCGACTTCCTCTACATAAATCCTTCCCATTTCGTGGAGTTTAAGAATGGCGATCAAAGTGTCAACGAAGACGACGAGGATTCAAGGCCAAAAGCATATGCAATATGCCAGTTTGTGTCAGTGGATACTACGACGTCTTCTTCATCGGCACAGCTCAACCCTGACACCATGAATATCACAGTCAGAAGGTTTTACAGACCTGAAGACTTGAATGCCATGGATGCTTACCTCTCCGACATCCATACGGTAACCTTAAACTAATCTGCACATTCTTTATTCTATGTTGTATGGATCAAGATTTTGCATGAATAAAGAATATTCAAGAACGAGGTTTATCTTGAAATATGTTGTCTAAATGCATTATTTATGTTCTGAACTTTCAGATATATTGGAGTGATAAGACAGCAACAGTGCCTGTCAGCGTGGTGAAGGGGAAATGTGAAGTTTGGACAAAGAAAGATTTTGTATTTATGGAGTTTCCTTATATGAATGAGCATACCTTCTTCTGTGAATATGTAGTAGCTGACCCAGATCATAGGCCAAAATTGCAACCGGTAACTAATCTTAACTACCTTCTTAATTGTTTTTTTGGGTGACACAGGAAATGCACCGTCACTACTGGAGTGTGTGACCTGGTAAACTCAGCTAAAGTAAAACCAATTTAGGTACAGTTGTGCATATTTAATTGACTCAAACCAGGAAGACCTTCAATTCCACTGAGAGTCAAACTTGGACTACCTTCTTTCTTGTGACAATCTTGTTTGAACTTTACTTCTACTACAAAAAGAATGACATAAACAAAAGATAAATTAGTTTAATTGGTAAATTATATAATTTTGCCTAGTAGGGCTAGCTCAAGTAGTAGATCACTTGATTTAAAGTCAGCACTTTAATAGCAGGCAGGGTGAGGTTTGACTCCCATGCATAAAATTGATTGAGAGGCTATCTATCTGGAGGCTTAGAATTAGTACGTCTTGCTTAAGCTGAGAAATCTAATTAATGTATAAAAAAGAATGACATGCATCAATGAACTGTTTTGCTTTTAATTTATGTCTTATTTTGGTGGCTAGCTTTTTGAGGGCTGCTTGCAACTCAAAGAGACAAGAAGAAAGACAGAAGAGGAAAAGGAAGATGAATCAGGCAGCAAATGTGGGGTTCCCAGAGGCCCCTTGGCTACTCTGGACATCTTTTCTGGTTGTGGTGGCTTATCAGAAGGTCTAGAAAAGTCAGGTAATTAACAATAATAATTTCCCAGTATTATTTTACATTATATATATTCACTGTATGTACTAGCTTAAATCCCAGAACAACAAATTATATATTGGTTATGGCTTTGGTAATAACTTGCAGGTGCAGCAGTCACAAAATGGGCTATAGAGTTTGATCAAAAGGCAGCTGAAGCTTTCAAGCTGAATCATCCAGATGCCTTCACACTGGTTCAAGACTGCAACGTGGTTCTCAGGGATGTGATGATGGCGAACGGGGATGCCGACGACTGTATTCCTTTCACTGAAGCTTCATCCACGTCGTCTGCATCAAAGCTGAACGATGGGGTTCTCAGCCACCTGCCTAAACCTGGAGACGTCGATTTCATCGTTGCAGGACCTCCCTGTCAGGTTAATTTATGTTGAGCATATAACCATTAATGTGCAATCCAAACTATAAGCTCATGCTTCAATTTGGTATCAGAGCCAGACTAAAGGTCATGTGTTTTCTTTGTCTCGATGTGCAGGGGTTTTCTGTCCTGAACAGGTACAAGAAGAACTCATTGAGTGATGAAAAGCGCACGATGATACTGTCGTTTTTATCCTATGTTGATTACTTCAGGCCCAAGTATGTCCTCCTTGAAAACGTCAGGAACCTCGTCAGTTTTGACAAAATGAACCCATTTCAGCTCACCCTAAAATCATTTCTTGAAATGGGCTATCAGGTATGTATATATACCATTACCATACAAACTTATAACCAAGATTATTAGCAATTGCTGGGAAACCCAGACCAAGATATATAGTCAAACTGCAGATTTATAACCCTAAAGTTCTAAGTTTCAATCTTAGCTAGTACAAGTAGACTATTCACATTCTTAGTTTAAATCTATTAGTTGTGAACCGTGCAACAAGATGCATGCTCAGATAGTTAGTTCGGTGATGACCTTCGTGATCAGTTGTGGACAGTTTAAACTGGTTTACTCAGTGCACATCCTATATATATATATATATATATATATATATATATATATATATATATTGGCTTCAACCTTTCTTGTTTCCTTTGGATGAGTACAGGTGAGATTTGGAGTCCTTGATGCCGGATTCTATGGCGTGGCGCAGTCGCGGAAGCGGGTTTTCATATGGGCGGCGGCGCCTGAAGAGACGCTCCCTGAATGGCCAGCGCCAATGCATGCATTTCCAACGCGAGAGCTGAGAATCAAGCTAGATTTAAACGCAAATTCCCATTACACTGCTGTCCAGAGCGCAAGAGATGGTGTCCCTTTGCGTGCTCTAACTGTCAGAGACACCATCGGAGATCTTCCTCCATTGACAGATGGAGATAGTATAGGAACTATGCCGGTACGTATATTCACATGATAGATGTTTTTTGAAAATTTCTTTGATCGATCCCTCTAACCCAGCACAATATGTTTCTTGGTTTGCATGTTCAGTACAAAGGCAATCCTGTTTCCTGGTTCCAGAAAAGAATCCGAGGAAATCAGAGTGTATTGAATGATCATACCACGAAGAAACTGACTGAAATAAATCTCATTCAGTGCCTTTACCTCTCCCCAGGTGAAGATTGGAGAAATCTTCCCGACAAGAAGGTAATAATATAATGTTCTATAAATCGAAACAAACACTCTTTGAAGTGGAACATATCTTTTAATTTTCTTTAATACTTGTGTTTTGCTTTCATGTTTTTCCAGATTAATCTATCAAGTAATGGGAAGCTTGAAGACTTGAAACCAAACTGGCTGGTTAATTCGCGGGGTAAAGGTTACCAGTCAAAAGGCGTTCTAGGAAGGTTACATTGGAATAAAAATTTCCCGACAGCCATCACCAACCCTCAGCCAAGAGGTAAGGTTGGGAGATGGTTTCATCCCGTAGAGCATAGGATGATTTCTGTCCGAGAATATGCTCGATCTCAGGTATATGCATGTTTCATCTTATGACATGACAAGATTTGGAATCATTCGTGTGCATTGTGTGTGTGCAATATAATGTAGAGTTTATAACATGTAAATGTTTGTATGCAGGGATTTCCTGATTCGTATCAATTTGTAGGAACTTTAAGGAACAAGTATCAACAAGTTGGTAACGCTGTACCGCCACCCCTAGCATATGCACTAGGGAGAAAGCTCAAAGTGGCAATGGAAGGCAATAATTCATAGTATATATATATATATATATATATATATATATATATATATATATATATATATATATATATATATATATATATATATATATAGCTATGACAACTTGTAAGTTACTAAGTTACCTTGTATAAGTGCATCCTCAATAGCAAATTTTTGACAATTTTTGAAATAGTGAAAATATTGTGAGATGGTTTTTAACAAATGTAGGAAGTAGTTTTTTTTGTTGATTTTTTCTCTTGCAAAAACTATGTTTTTAAATAATAAAAAAAATTTCAGTGAGATACGCAAGTGTGTCTGGCCTGCTGGCCACTCAAACAGACGTGTTTATTCCACGCGTCCAGCCGCTTGGGCGATTAAGAGTGGCGGTCACTCTCAATTGGGGGCCTCCTTTATTCCTTTTTTTTTTTTAATTAAAAAAATATACAAAGACCACCTTCTTGTTTTTATTTTTTAAAATTTTTAATTTAATTTTCTTAACATACTCCTACGTATTAATTTTCAAAAATTTTACACTACAAGTTTATTTATTTAATATTTTAATGTAATATTATTATTAAATTTATAATTATTAATTAAATTAAATTTTCTTAATTATCAATAATAATATTATTAAATTTATAGTTATCAATAATATTGTTATCAAATTTATAATTATAATTACAATAAAGATTTTTGGAATGATAATAGATAAAGAAATAATTAAAATATAGTGGAGTAAAATAGTGAGTCCACACAAAACTTAAAAAAACACTAAAATTAATGGGAATTTTTTTTTTTTGATTGGATGAAGAGGTAGATGCATATATATATATATATATATATATATATATATATATATATATATAATGTAAAGATTAATTTGTAATAAAATAATGGTTATAGATAAATTTATGTAGATTTTAACTCACTATTCATCCAACACTTATTCACTCACACTTTAATTAAATAAACTTTTGTCAAGTTAAATTGACCAGTTACATCTTTTTTAAACCAACTCAAAACTTCATTAATGAATCAACAAAGCAAAAATACAAATTGGTGGAATAATGGATCAGGAACCGGAGCCAATTGGTGAATCAGTTGCCCGTACTAACACATGAGCCACTTGATTCGCTGATTTCTGGACATGGTAAACAACAACGTTCCCAATTTCTTAGAAACTTTAAATGCATTTAATATTTCCTTCCTATAAACATTTAAAGGATTTCCTTTGTGGCAGGGCTCAAAATTTAATTTGTTGTTTAGATATGCATTTGTTGACCTTTTCAAGGCTTCCATTGGCACTTAGCTTCAAACTTTCTTCCTGGCCAATGCAAATGCTAGAGGTGGCGGTACATTTACATGATATGCACACATAGTGCACGCATGGATGATTCCAATTCAAACCTCATCATATCATGTGAAGATCGATAACAAATGTTTGTATATTCTCAGATATAAATCATCCTAAGCTATGTTATACAAGGTAACTTAGTAAGTAATTTAGTAAGGTAACTTAGTTCTGAAACGACCGGCAATGAAAAAAAAAAAGACTACGCGGGCGAGATCGAAGAAAGTTGCTGAGAAATGGATGCCGTATTATCAATCTCCGAGGAAACAGGTGAGTACAAGTAGCAGAAAATTGTTGGACGTTAAAATCCAACCTAAACCATGATCCCATCAGCACAGAAATCGCACGGAAGAAAAAGAAGACCCAGAAACAAAATATTTCTGCAAAAACGTATATTGCTCGGATAAAAGCGGGTTTTTCAGTTTAAAAACCGAATCCATAGGCCTCGGCAACGGCCATTGCCATTCCTGCAAAGCAAGAAAATCCCAGAAAGAAAAGAACACATTCTCGTACTGTGTATCCACGAATAGCTTCACATATCAAAGGATTCACTACGAAGCTCTCGACTTTCTCTACATAAATCCTTCCCATTTCGTGGAGTTTCATAATGGCGATCAAAGTGTCAGCCAAGACGACGAGGATTCGAGGCCAAAAGCATATGTAATATGCCAGTTTGTGTCAGTGGATACTACGTCTTCTTCATGGGCACAGCTCAACCCTGACACCATGAATAGGATGATTTATGTCTGAGAATATATTCGATCTTAAGTATAGGCACATTTTTTATATATCTTGATCGACATGATGCGGTTTGAATTGGAATCATCCATTTGTGCACTATGTGTGCACTATTTGTGCATCGTAGTGTTTATATCAAATAAATGTTTGTGTGCAGGAATTTTCGGATCGGTATAAATTTATAGGAATTCTAAAGAACAAGTACTAACAAGTTGGCAAAAATTTGGTGTAAGAAATTAAATTTGGTGTAATGAGTTGGAGATGAAAAAAAAATGTGTAAAAATATGCTTAGAATATAATATTCCTTATGGTGTAAAATTTGGTGCAAAATTTAGTATTTCGGATTAGAAATGGTCTTTAAGTATGTATTTATTGACCTTTTCAAGTTAGGCAAAAAAAAATTCTTGATAATGTAAACGTATAATTTTATATAACGGTCACAATATGTGATATAATATAAACACATTTGGAAAAAACATTATGTATAATATATTGTTGTTATTTTAACCTATTTTGTAAAGGCTATATCCCATATATATTCTCTTCCCAAAAACACCTCACTTACCAAATGATGCAGTGTTATTCTCCCATGCAGAATTCCACCAACTTTTTCCACTCTGCCACATTCTATTTTCCTTTAATTTCCTACGTAGCAGATATAGTATGTGCATGGCAGATATAGTACGTGCATGCCGATATAGTATATACATATGGGATAACGCCGGAAATAGAAATTCACTGAATACGATGATTCCAGGCGACTTTCTTGATCGGAATGAAATGTTTTACCTCATTTTATTTGATTCTTTGAAGGCCATTTATGCTTATAAATTCTGGGAAAGACTGGTTTTTCCATGTATAATATATAAGCTAAGGTGGGTTATATGGTGCCGGAGATACATAGCTAAACTGTCTATAACAATGGAAAATATTGAGACTAACGAACCTGTTGTAGTTAACAGGTGTGGTGTATATGTTGTTCATTTTCATTTCATGGGTTACGTTATATATAGAGAATGGATCGGAGAATGCAGAAGCGTTAGTAGATTCAATTTGTGTGCAGTGTGTGTGCATTGTAGAGTTTATAACATGTAAATGTTTGAAAACGGAGATTTTTGGATTGGTATAAATTTAATTTGTAAGGTTTTCAAAGAATAAGGTTTAGAATTATTCGTGCGTGCACAACGTGTGCATGTAGAGTTAATTTATATCATGTAAATGTTTGTGTGTAATTGGTATAAATTTGTAGGCACTTTAAGGAACAAGTATAAGCAAGTTGGTAACATTGTACCGCCACCCCTAGCGTTTGCACTGGGGAGAAAGCTCAAAGTGGCAATGGAAGGCAATAATTCATAGCATATAATCCATATATATAGCCATGATGACGTGTAACTTACTAAGTTACCTTGTATAACATAGAATGATTTATATATGTTTGAGAATATACTCGATCTCAGGTACATACATGCACGTTTGTTCTCTTGACATGATGAGGTTCGGAATCATCCGTGGGTGCACTATGTGTGCATCGTAGATTGAGTTTATATCATGTAATGTTTTGCATTATATTGTGTGCAAGAATTTTCATATTAATATAAATTTGTAGAGACTTCTATGAACAAATACCAGACGTTGTACTGTTACCTCTAGCGCATTTGCACTAGAAAAAAAGCTCAAAGTCACAATGGAAACCACTAATTCATAGTATAAACCATGATGACTTATAACTTAGCTTACTAATTTATACTAATTTATATTGACTTTATTCGGTAAAACTTATAATTTATTTTAAACTACAAATAAGCCTGAATTATATAATTAAATATGGGAACACGTCCTACCTAATAGCTCAAGTGATCAATTAGTCAATCTTTAGTAAAAATCTGTCATTATTTAGCACCTGAAAACTGTCATAATCAATTGTGTTAAATATTACCACAATTTACTATCATCACTCCATAAATAAGTAGAGAATTGAAGTATGCACGAGTGACGTACACTATCATAGCAGCATACGTCACTAACCTCCACTTTCCTCAGCCTCGGCCATATACATCCTCACCACAACTGAAAATGAAGCTTTCATTATCTTCTTCTTCTTCACCAAAACCCCAAAATGCCATCCACATACTCCTCTTCAAATACTATCCAATAAACTCAAAATTAGTACAGGAAAGCATGCATGAGCATAAGAATCGAATTGTCTGTCAAAAATGCAGGTAATCGATTTTCATTATTGTTTTCCATTATCCATTCATGTTTAAAACATTTATGTTTAAGGTTCATAAAGACAAGATCTTTAATTTCCTGAATTGGAAATACTAAAACTGCATTTACTTATTAGTTACCTGTTTCTTTGATGAGCAGATCAATAAGTGATTCCTCGAGAACTTCACTGTCGTCAATGTTAGAAGCACGGAATTCTTATGCGTTGTTGAGGTGGAGGAGGAGGAGGAGGAGGAGAGGTAATGCCTTCAGTTCTGAGCCCGGCCTTCTGTTATCTTGTCTATATATATGCTGGCTTTTTCTTTTTGGTTGTTCTATGTTGATAGTTTTTAGGCCAATTTATAAATTGTAATTTCTAATTTCGGGTTAACCAATCATATTTGAACCAAATTTATATTCGGATATATCAGAATGGATAACCTATTAGGTTCGCTAAAAGTCCATGGCTTGGTGGGTTAAATAAGTGAAAATGGTAATGAATATAGTCGTAGTGGTGGATAGTTAAGTAAATTTTGTTGGGGTAGGTAGGCAAATAGTGGTGGGTGAAAGGAAGCGGGAATTATAATGGAGGTAGTGATAGTGGCGGTGATGTGGGAAGGTAGGTATACAAGGTGATGGTAAGATAGGTAGGTGGTGGTGATCTGATGATACGTAAGTAATGGTGGATGGATGGGTAGGTAGGTGAAGGTAGGGGTAAATAGAAGTTCGTATGTATTATGTATGCAACAATGATGGTGATTAGAGATAAAGTTATGCATTTTTTGTATTTGAACAATTTAGAAAATATGGAGAAAAAAAAAAAAAAAAAAGCTTTCCAAAATCATTTGTTAAGTTGGAAAAATGGAGAATTTCTCTAATTTCCCCGAACTAGAACTAGAAAACAGGAAAAAAAAAAAAAGATTCTTCGGTTACTTAACAGGCTCCTAACTTGTTGTTTCTCTGCTGGTGTTACTTGGTATAATTGTATAGTTGAGAACTTTGATGTGTACTTCATTTACTAAACAGGCTCGTAACTTTTATTATGTTGAAAATGAGTCTAAATTCAGGCATTCAAAGTGAGAACTTGTTCTATACAATAAATGTTTTTTTGTGTTATAGAAATACATAAATAACTAACTCCTCTATACATCATTTACCTGTTCTGTATATAGGACAAGGGAGTTGAAGCATAGTGAAAATTTATGAAGAGTTTCTTCTCATGCATAATAACTCTTCGTGATTTCAACTTTATTCGTTTAAGTACGAGTGTATGATGACTAATAAACCTTGAGAATCCCATCTGAATAGCCAGATGTTGCATGTTATTTAATTCAACACCTAAGCCCCCTTAGGTAAATTCATCATTTATCGTTCATAAGCCTTGTTTTCATAATCTAATTTATCTTAATTCTTGTCTTCTTCCAGTAATGTATGCTGAAAACATGACATCTCGAGTAACACTCTGAACTACTCTATATTAAATACTCTTTTTCTGCAACTGGTAACAGGAAAATGCAAAGAGAATCGAGTATTGGATATTGTCGTGCTAATAAGTCAGATACTTATGTTGAAATCACCTATAAAAGAAGGCAAAAGCGGACGAGGTTGGAGAGCTGTGAATATACCTCGGGTTCTTGTAAAAAACCGAGGCCAGCTGATGTCAGCTCTGAGCTGGACTTATATGAGACCGAGATAGTCGGGACTGGAAGGCCTCGGGTAGTCCAAACTGAACCGGATGCAGTGGCGTTGACAAGAAGAGGCCGAAATGAGTTTCCAGTAAATAGAAGACTGACAGAGTTCTCCTTCTACGACGAAGATGAAAAACTGCAGCTTGTTGAGGTCATAGAGACGAAGAAGATGTACATTTCTGGTGCCATTTTGCCTTTGGAAGGAGCTTTTGGGAAAGGCAAAGAAACGGGAGTGCAGTGCAATAGATTTGGACCAATTCTAGAATGGTCGATATCTGGATTTGATGAAGGGTCGCCAGTTCTTTGGATTTCCACTGTCATTGCACACTATGAATGTCTCGAACCTTCCAGTTCCTATAAAATTCTGTACGATCTTTTCTTCCAGAAGTCACGTGCATGTATCGAGACTTATAGAAGATTATCTAGACCCTATGGAGGCACCCCGGAAGTTAGTCTTAACGATTTAGTATCTGCAGTTGCTTCAACAATGGTCGAAACTAGTCTATCACACACTGTGTCAGTCCAAGACTTAATTATTTCGTGGGGCAGGTTCATCTATGAACAACTAATTGGCTTAGAGAAGTCAGAGTCCACCGAAGATCCAATTTTTAGTGAACTTCCTGTTCTAATTGCCCTAAGAGATGCTAGCATGAAAATCTCATTTGTGAAAAGCGGAGAGAAAACTAAATGTTTGCAGGGCGGTGAATATAAAGCAACAAAAATATCAGACACCTCCATTCTCACTTCATCAGAAATCGCGAAGCAAGCAGCTAGATTTGCCGGTCTAAAGAACAAATCCGGTTTGTTGTCAAAACCTCAAGTAGTTGAGAAGGAATCAGATGCAATAAGACTAACAAAAATTGATCTGTCAGATTCTCCTTCTAATAGAAGATTGACAGACTTCACTTTTTACGACGAAGATGGCATAATTCAGCTTGTTGATACGCTGGAAGTGAAGAATATGTATGTTTCTGGTCTCATTTTGCCCTTGGAAGAATCTTACGATGAACCAAAGGACAAAGGGGTCAAATGTGAAGGATTTGGGCCAATTCTAGAGTGGTCGATATCTGGATTTGATGACGGCTTACCAATTGTATGGATTTCGACTGATGTTGCTCACTATGAATGTCTTCACCCTTCCATCGCCTACAAACATTTGTGTGGCATGTTCTTCGACAAGGCTCGTGCATGTGTAGAAACTTATAGAATTTTATCAAACACTTGTGGAGGCAACCCCGATCTGAGTCTTAATGAGCTACTAAATGCAGTATTTCACTCGATGAGTAAGAGTGAGAATATACCTCAAGGGATATCCATCGAGAATTTAATAATTTCATGGGGTGGGTTTATTTATGAACAACTGCAAGGTTTAGAGAAGTCAAATTCTGATGAGGATCCAACGTTTGGCGAACTTCCCGTGCTGGTTGCCCTTAGGGATGCTAGTGCAAAAATGTCAGATATAAAAACTGGAAAAAGGAAAAGGCAAATCATCAGGTCTAATAGCAACCGATATGTCATTGCATTTGCAGAAATAGGAAAACAAGCAGCTTTGTTTGCCGGTTTAAAGTACAAATCAGATCGGTTGCTAGATAGTTCCAGAATAGGTGAATCTACAAGACATCGACTAGTGGAGAGGGAATCAGATGCAATAAGATTCACAAAAACTGGCCGGAAGGACTCTCCACCAAATAGACAATTGAAAGACTTCATCTTTTATGATAAAGATGGCACGTTGCAGCTTGTTGATATGCTAGAACTAAAGGATATGTATGCTTCGGGTTTCATTTTTCCTTTGGAAGCAGCTGCTCGAAAAGAAAAGGACAGCGGGGTAAAATGTGAAGGCTTTGGCCCGATTTTATCATGGTCAATATCTGGATTCGATGAAGGCTCACCAATCATATGGGTTTCCACTGATGTTGCTCACTATGAATGTATTCGTCCTGCTGCCACTTATAAAAATCTATACAATCTATTTCTCGAGAAGGCCCGTGCATGCATTATGACTTACAGGCTTTTATCAAAATCTTATGGAGGCAATCCTGATCTGAGTCTCAGCGGGCTACTTACTGCAGGTGTTCACTCGATGAGTAAGAGTAAGAATATACCTAAGGGGACGTGCATAAAGAATTTAATCATTTTATGGGGTAGGTTTATTCATGACCAGTTAATGGGTTTGGAGAAATCAGAGTCTGAAGAGGATCCAATCTTTGGTGAACTTCCTGCACTTATAGCCCTTAGAAATGCTAGCATGAGAACTAGAACTAAGGAAACGAGATTGGAGAGCAGAAACGAGGTAGAAGAACCTTCAGCTCCATTTGCTAGTTTAAATTATAGATCAGATAACTTCAGGATAATTGAATATAGAAAACTTCAAGAAGTTGAGGAGGAATTGGATGCATTGACGTTGACAAAAACTGACCCTAATGATTCTCCGCCAAATAGAAGATTGATAGACTTTTCTTTCTATGATGCAGATGACATATTGCAGCCTGTTGAAATGCTAGATGTGAATGCTGTGTATGTTACCGGTATCATTTTGCCATTGGAAGAACCTTCCAATAAAGTGGAAGCGAAAGGAGCTAAATGTGAAGGATTTGGGCCAATTTTAGAATGGTCAATTTCTGGATTTGACGAAGGGTCACCAGTCATATGGATCTCTACCGATGTTGCTCACTATGAGTGTCTTACGCCTACACCTGCCTATAAAAGATTGTACAGTTTATTGTCTGAAAAGGCCCGTGCTTGTGTTGAAGCTTACAGAAGGCTGTCAAAATCTTATGGAGGAAATGACAATCTCACTCTTAACGAATTGCTTGCTTCACTTGTTCGGTCAATGAGCAAGAACGGGGGCCTACCCACCGGGACATCCATCAAGGAGTTAATTGGTTCATGGGGTTGGTTCATATATGAACAATTGGCTGGTTTGGAGAACCCCGATTCCAAAGAAGAACCAATCTTTGGGGACCTTCCGGTGCTCATCGCCCTTAGGGATGCCAGCTTAAGAATTTTGGATTCGAAAACTGGAGCCGAGGAAAAAAATAGTCATTCCAATGAGTGTGCGCCTATCAAAATGAGAAGAGATCGATTGCTACAAGAAAAAAAGAATTGGCTGGCATCCTTCAAACCAAATAAGAGGCTGCATCCAGCAATATCCCCTAACAACTACCATGTAAAGATCAGTGAAGATGAGATTGCAGATGATTACCCAGTTCCTGCTTACTATAAACCCGAGGTGCAAGAGAGAGATGAGTATATTATCTTCGACGAAGATAGTTGTATTTCTTATCCCGACCAGCTTCCTCATAGCAGCCTTCATAACTGGTCTGTCTATAATTCAGAGGGAAAGATGATTTCTTTGGAGCTTCTCCCTATGAAATCATGTCCTGGTATCGATATGACAGTTTATGGGTCTGGTACAATGACAGCTGATGATGGAGGCCCCGGGTTCTATCTTCACGATAATAATAGTCCATCAAGTTCTAAAGAGCTAAGCATCGACGCCACACCTGTCTTTCTGAGCGCCATAAAGGAGTGGAGGATTGAATTTCGATCTGTCATGTTCTTCATTTCAATTCGAACTGATATGTCCTGGTAAGATAGAATTGTTGAGTTCTTTGGAAAGCATTTCATTATGGAATCAGAGTAGTGATTCTTGTCTGAGTAATCTTTTTCTCTGTATAATACATCAGGTACAGGTTGGGGAATCCATCAGAGCAGTATACTCCATGGTTGAAACCTGTGTTGAGAACTGCACGATTAGCTATTGCCATTATTACGTTATTGAAGCTGCAAAGCCGTGCATCCTGCCTTTCCTTTCTCGATGTCATCAAGAAAGTCTCTCAATTTGATAAAATTCATCCTTGCCACATTTCCTCGGATCTAGCAGGTGTTCGCAGGTATATACTTGTTCATGCCCAGATTATCTTGCAACTGTTTTCAGAGTATCCCGATATTACAATCAGCAAATGTGCTTTCGTGTGCACTCTCCGCACCAAGATGGAAGAGCAGCACCAAAGAAAATGGTCAGTAAATAAGAGTGTGATCCCGAAACAAGAACCATGGATGAACTCGAGAGCTTTCAAGGTTGCCACGATCTCGAAAAGGAAAGCTATGCCTGCAACCACCACCAAGTTGATAAGAAGGATCTGGCGGCAGTATTGCTCAAATCACATGCATTGGGAGTCAATGGAGGCCAATGAAGAGGAGGCAGAAGAAAATGAAAGAAAGGATCTAAAGTACAGAAGAGAAGATGAAATTTTAAAATTACAGAAATGTGATCATCCACACTGGAAAACAAGGTCTGCTAAAAAGGAAATCAGATGGGATGGAGAATCAGTTCAAAGAACATCCCGAGGTGAGGCACTCTTTACACAGGCTCTTGCCAATGGACATGTGGTTTGTGTAGGCCACACTGTGGTGCTAAGAACATCCGATTCAATGAAACATTCGTGTATATGTTTCATAGAGTACATGTTCCAATCATCAGATAACAGAAAATTGGTTCATGGAAGACTGCTGCTTAGAGGTTGTCAAACTGTTCTCGGAGATACTGCTAGTGAGAGGGAACTCTTCTTGACAAATGAGTGTAGAGAATTTGAGCTCGGTGATGTCATAGAAACCATGGTTGTGGAAATCGGGCAAAGACCTTGGCATTATCAACACCGCAAGGCAAATGCAGATAATGACAAAGTGGAAAAACAAAGAGCTTGGAAGGGAAAGATAAAGGGGTTACCCATGGAATACTTCTGCAGAAGTTTATACTGCCCGGAAAGAGGTGCTTTCTTTTGCCTACCAACTACAGTAATGGGCCTTGGAACTGGGGATTGTAACTCGTGTAAAATGAGACAAGCCTCAAATGTGAGGGTCTTCAAGCTCTGTACATCCACAACAAGCTTCACATATCGGGGAATTCAGTACAGTATTTGCGACTTTCTCTATTTAAGCCCTTTGTATCTTGCAGCAAATGAGAAACAGAAAACAACTTTCAAGAACAGCAGGAATGTCGGTCTTAAATCATATATAGTCTGCCAACTACTTGGGGTTGAAAGTGACAACTCCTTTGAACGAGCTGACCCTGAATGTGTGATGATCAAAGTTAGGAGGTTTTTCAAACCTGAAGATATTTCAAAGGAGAAGGCTTTCTTTTCTGATGTTCAAGAGGTAATATATTTTTAATGTGTATGGCGAAAACCTATGGGTTTAATCTACATGCTGATAATGAGACCTTTCTTTTCCTTTTTTTTTTTTTTTTTTTCATTAGCCATTTTAAACTCCTTCATTTTCTATTCAAGATAAAGATTTATTTCGAATAATTGAGAGTTTAAGTGCTTTTATGCCCATTCTGATAGCTACGTGTTTCCTCCCTTCTTTAGCCATTAAATTCTTTAATTTCTGTTCAAGAACAAATTCTTTCAGGAATGATAAAATCTCTGATATGTGGGGTTCTCATTATTTTCCTGTCAATTTTTTTCTTAGATATGGACACTAAATGCTCATTAATGAATCTTCAGGTTTACTACAGTGAACAGATAATTAAGGCACCTGTCGCTGCTGTAGAAGGAAAATGTAATGTTAGAAATAAGAAAGATTTTCAATTTAAAGATTGCCATAATAGCCTTTATGTTTTTGAGCATGTCTTCTTCTGTCAACATCTGTACGACACTGAAAGTGGGACTCTGAAGCAGGTTATTACTTATATTTCTATATGTTTAGAATATATTTTATACGGATTTTTTTTTTTTTTTATCTACATTCCTAAACCATTTATTTATCTTGCCAAAAACTATATCAAGTGAATCTTCGTGCTTCAATCACAAAGTTGCTTATGTGCATTATATCCTGTTCGGTGGCAGTTACCCCGTAATGTTGAGCTAGGCTTCCTCTCAAAAGAGCACATAGTCCATAATGATTCAATCAAAAATGAAAAAGTGAAGTGTATAGAAGGAGAAAATAAACCCGAGTGTACTGAGAAAGCAGTGGATGAAGCTGCTAAAAATCCTCTAGCCACTCTCGACATATTTGCTGGTTGTGGTGGCCTGTCTACAGGTTTAAAAGAGTCGGGTAATAGTCTTTTAACTTATGTGATGTTTTCAACTTTATTTAAGTATATTACTGACTTATTCATTGCACCTTATTTGAAGGTGTATCGGTGAGTAAATGGGCAATTGACTATGAAGAAGCTGAGGCTGAAGCTTTTAAGTTGAATCACTCAGAGGCAGTGACAATCACTAGTAACTGCAACGCAATTCTTAGGTTGATGTTTGGTCACACGTACTTGTTCCCATCTAAATTGTTCGAGTTCTTCTTTGATTGGCAGAGATAGCTTCTTTCTTCATCTTTTCATTTAGTTAATCATTTAATGGCAGGGCAATCATGATAGCCGGTGGAGATGGAGATGAGTGCATTTCAAGTTCAGATGCAGCCGAGTTGGCTTCAAAGCTTGACGAGAAGGTAATAAACAGTTTGCCACGACCTGGAGAAGTGGATTTCATTGTCGGTGGCCCCCCTTGTCAGGTTTGCACTGTTAAAACTTTTCCATATGAACTTATGATTCTACTTTGTTCATTGTTTATCTCTAAGCTTTCTTTATGTGCAGGGATTTTCTGGACTAAATAGGTTCCAAGAAAGCTATTGGAGTAGGACGCAATGTGAAATGATCTTATCGTTTTTATCTTATGTGGATTACTTCAGGCCTAAGTACGTCCTCCTCGAAAATGTCAGGAACTTTGTTCGTTTTGACAAAGGGAAAATGTTTCATCTAACTCTAGCTTCGCTGCTCGAAATGGGTTACCAGGTACATCAATATAGTTCCATGCCAAGAAATAACTGAGAAAAGTTCAATAACATGTATAGAATAAGGAGTGAATGGAGCTTCCTTTCTCATAATTTGTGGCAGATCTAGTTGAAACTTGAAAGTTTGACAGTTTTTCTATACATATGTGGTGAAATGTATTTAAGTTTGTAACATGGAGGTCTAATTTGGATGGTTTCTTCTTTGTCTCCTTGCTGTTCTTCTATTTCCATCTTCCTTTCCCTTTTTGTTTGGAGTCGAAGGTGAGGTTTGGAGTATTGGAAGGCGGGGCGTATGGTATAGCTCAGACACGCAAACGTGCATTCATATGGGCAGCTTGTCCAGAAGCCACGCTTCCTGAATGGCCCGAGCCAATGCATGTGTTTTCAGGTCCTGAACTCAGGATTCAATTAGATTCGGTTGGCAATGCTCATTATACTGCCGTTCGTAGCACTGCAGGTGGTGCCCCTTTCCGTGCTATCACTGTCAGAGATACGATAGCAGATCTCCCAGCAGTCAGAAGCGGGGCATCAGCAACAACCATGGAGGTACAATACGCTTTTCAACATTATGTTCTTTTTCTGTCGTTGTATGTATATCTTGCAGTCCTCAATCGGTTTGTAACTTAGTATGAAGGCAAGCCTCTTTCCTGGTTCCAAAAGAGGGTCCGAGGTGGCATGGTACACTTGATAGACCACATTTCAAAGGAAATGAATCAGCTGAATCTTACCAGATGTCAGAAGATCCCCAAATGTGCGGGTGCTGATTGGCGTGATCTCCCACGCGAGAGGGTAATCTTCCTTATTCTTATTCTTATATACTATGTATGTAATGTCCAGCCGCGCTGATTGGCACTGTTTGCCCAGGTCCAATCGTTAATTGTCTGTTACTTTCGTGTTTTAGCTCAACCGGTTTCTCTTGCAGGTTCAATTGTCAAATGGAAAGGAGGCTAATTTGGTACCTCGGTTCCTGAAAAACACAGCCAAGAAACACAATGAATGGAAGGGCCTATTTGGAAGGTTGGACTGGGAAGGAAATTTCCCAACAGCCATTACAGACCCTACCCCGGGTGGTAAGGTTGGCATGTGTTTTCACCCTGAACAAGACAGGATAATTTCTGTCCGAGAATGTGCTCGATCCCAGGTACCATGTTTTCCCCCTTTTCTTTACCTGCCAAAAAACACACACATTCTTTCAACATATAAAATGGTTTTGTAGTTGATCTGCTATCTCTAAGAATGTTATCTATTCATGATTCATAATGTATGGATGTTGATCTGAAACTTTTCTGAATGGACAAGAGGTTATTTACTGGAAAACATGCATATTCAAATTCAACTGAGCATTTATAACTCATTAATTCATGGAAATGAGATCTGAAGTACCTTGTATCTGCAGGGATTTCCAGATAGCTACAAATTTTCCGGCAGCATTCTACATAAACACCGGCAGATTGGCAATGCTGTCCCTCCTCCGCTGGCTTTTGCACTGGGAAGGAAACTCAGGGAAGCAATTGAACATAATTTGTACCATAATCGTTCCACATGTAATCTTCCATAAACCAAAAGCAACATCAAATTGTTCATAAATATGTTTGTCGTTTCATTTTTCTGTAGACCAAACAGCCAAAGAGGCAAATAGTAAATTTCATGAGCTTATGAGATCCAACAATGAATCCAATGTGAGATAATACATCATGTATCCTCTTAATTTTCAACATTTCCTCTTCATTGCCTAGTAATATCATCACCTTCAGGTGCTTTGACTGGCTCATACAAGATTAAAGTAATTCTGAAAAATCCTAAACTGCTAGATTAGACAAATCTGGTTAAAATGGCATCTGCACAAACTAATGCTATCATGTTGCTTTGGTGGTGCATGTTTCACACCGTAAGAGATAAACCATTGTCAGCCACCGTAAGATTAAGTATCATTGTAGCTGCTTTTGGAGCCCTGTTAACATATTTAAGGTAGAAAAAGAAAAAAAGTTAGCTACTTAGAAATCTTGGTAAGCAACATGATTATAAACATGGTATAAGCTTAAAGTTCAAATGACATGACCACAAAAAATCTTATTAAGCAAGAAAACAACAGAAGCGTGGTTCTAAATGTCCCACCCATCCATTACATAGTTATGGGGAGAGAGAGAGAGAGAGAGAGAGAGAGAGAGAGAGAGAGAAAGAATTAAGTACCAAGACTCTGGTGCCTGGTAGAGTGAAGCTGAACTGCCAAAGCATGATTGAAGCATCTCAGTGTTAATAACACCAGGGCTAAGAGCAACAACTGCAATTCCAGTTGGTATCTCCTTAGCTATTGATTTTGTCAGACCCTCTATAGCCCACTTGGAAGCACAATATGGTGCTACCTGTCAAGACAAGTTCCACAATTTGCTCAAAATCAATTCTGCAAAACTGATTATGGTGCAGGACAGAACCACACAGTTGGATCTTAAGTTTGGTATCATTCAAACCACATGAAATTTATTTCTTAAGATCTCAATACAGGGAAAAACAGAATATTATCATGCATATTACAATTCAAGATGCCAAATCTCTAAGTCCCAATACCTTTAGCAATCTATATTAAAATATAGGAACATACAAATTGGGAAAATAAAGTAAAAGTTTAACCTGTGCAGCTGCTGATCTTCCCCATCCTGAAGACAAATTAACAATAATTCCTTGCTTCTTGTCAATCATAAGTGGAATGAAGTGGCGCAGCACATTTGCTACTCCTTTCACATTTGTATCAATAACATTATCAAAGTCCTCTGCTGGGACCTCCCAGAGCCTGTTGTTCCTATTAATGGTTCCTGCATTGTTAACTACCAAAGAAGCTCATACTTTCTATATCAAGAATCAGTTACAATGAAATTGAACAAAATGTAAACGCCTTATCCATTGGAGGACAAACCAATTTATACAGACAAACACCTGCCTACATCAAGTAACACAGTAACACATAAACACCCATCAGAATCTGCACCCTGTATTTGTTGCCACCAACTCACCGAGCATACAGATCTTTCTGTCCTACTTAAGTACCACATGCAAACAATTTTTTTTTTTTTTTTTTTAAAGTCATGATACCTATAAATTAATACAGGGTACTTATTTTCCATAGCCAAAATCTGTTTGGTGAAGTAGGCAAACTTAAACACTAGTAGTAGAGACATAGATTATGTAACAGGTTTGCTAGCAGAGGCCAAAGGGAGATGAAAACTGATTGTTCATAAAAATCAAGAGCACTATAATATATCCCAAACTTTTACACACATAGTCAACTTTAGGTTGGGGACCCAAATATTTATACTCACCCAAAGAGTTGAAATAGAGTCCATACCTACAATATCAGGAATGCTCTTATTCTCCATAACAGCATGTGCCAATTCTTCAACACTGCTATTTGACCTCTATGAAGCAACGATACAAACAATAACCATCAATATACAATTCATAAGAGAGCAAACATAATTTCGTATGGAGAATTTCCCGCAAATTGGCAGCCATGATTTATTTCAAATAAGGTTGAACACCGCATCAACAAATTGTGTTTTAGAGGGAGAGAGGGAGAGCTATAATAAGTGTACCACATCAACTTTCATGATGAGGTGTTTGTTTTGGGAAGAAGATGTGGAACTGGAGGCGGATGCGAGCTCGGCATGAAGAGAATTGAGCTTATCCTGGGAACGAGAGCAGCCGATTATGGTGTGACCTCTCTTCGCCAATTCTAGGGCTAGAGCTTTGCCCAGCCCCCGGCTCACGCCGGTTATCAGCACCGTTTTGTGAGCTCCGGGCGCCGACATTGACAATTCTTCTAAATTCACCGTCGTCGGCGTTGAAAGTGTTGTCATCTTCAGTCTCAACTGTGAACTACAGTTATGATAGGCCACAATTCCAAGCCCATAGTTTTCACGGCTCACCTTTCCGCATACTTTTGGGCCGTATCTTTGGCCCAACTCAACAATCCAGTATTCTGTTTTGGGCTATATGCCTTTCTTCGTTATCCTAGCCCATTGGGTTTCGGCCCAATAAGTCCTCCGACTACTCTTCTTTCTAAAAATTTCCCACAACCAACAACCGAAAAGAGCATTCTATTAACGGTCTGCAATTTCCGGCGTCAAATTTTTCCAACATCTGAGACAAAACCCTAGCAGCTCACCTCGACTATTACTTTTCTGGGAAAGCTCTGCAACCTTTTTAAGAGGTTCGTTTCTCCATTATCGTATCTGTGTGTGTTTCTCTGTGTTTAGTATGCTACTACGTTCCATGTTCCTAATGTTTTTCTGCGGAAGCTCAGCTGGAAAAAGAAACTGTGTTTTTTTTTTTTTTTTTTTTTTTTTTTTTGGGGGGGGGGGGGGGGGGGGGGGTGGACTGGTAAGGTATGCATGATAGAGAGTGTGTATTTTATCCCTTAATTGAGTTAGGAAGGATGATAATTTGATATTGGATAAGTTTGGTTAGCAGAGATGGGTTCAGTGAAGAGGAAGTCAATAGAAGACCCGACTGATACAAGTAGACCCGAAAAGCAGCACAGAGAGGATAGTTTACTGGGTTTGGATGAGCAAGTGGCTTGTGTGCATGATGTTTCGTACCCGGAAGGCTATGTCCCTCATGCTCAAAGTTCTGCTAAGACTGAAGAAAGCTTAAAACCTGCAAAGGAGTTCCCTTTTACGCTTGATCCTTTCCAATCCGAAGCAATTAAGTGCCTTAACAATGGTGAATCTGTCATGGTACGATTTCCTATGATCACAACATTTAGCTTCCCTTGGGTGTAGCTTGTTTATTGTGAAAGTTTTCATTTTTATGGGATCTTGTACTAAATTTGGTGATAGGTGTCAGCACACACATCAGCTGGTAAGACGGTTGTGGCTCTGTATGCAATTGCTATGTCGTTGAAGAATAATCAGCGCGTGATTTACACTTCACCAATCAAAGCACTTAGTAATCAAAAGTACAGAGAGTTTAAAGAAGAGTTTTCTGATGTGGGATTGATGACTGGAGATGTAACCATTGAACCCAATGCTTCTTGCTTGGTATGTTTTTTTGCTCAAGTATGTTTGGTTATATATTCTGTATTTTATGGGCTTCTATGACTAGCATGTGCTCCAACCACAGGTAATGACCACAGAAATCTGGCGAAGCATGCAGTACAAGGGATCAGAGGTTACAAGGGAGGTGGCGTGGATTATTTTTGATGAAGTACACTACATGCGTGATAGAGAACGGGGTGTAGTTTGGGAGGAGAGTATTGTGATGGCTCCAAAGAATTCTCGATTTGTATTTCTCTCAGCTACTGTGCCTAATGCCAAGGAGTTTGCAGATTGGGTTGCGAAGGTGATTGTGTCTTTTTAAATTCGTCTTAGGGACAAAAACATTCAGTTTTAGTGATATGCAACTTGACATGTTTAGATATTTTACTGTTTATTGTGATAATGGTATTAATCTTGGTTGTTAAAAATGCAGGTCCACCAGCAACCCTGTCATATTGTTTATACAGACTATCGACCTACACCTCTTCAGCACTACATGTTTCCTTCTGGTAGTGATGGTCTATACTTGGTGGTTGATGAAAAGGGAAAATTTCGTGAGGAAGGCTTCCAGAAAGCTTTAAATGCTCTTGTTCCTGCTAGTGAGGGGGGTCGAAAAAGGGAAAATGGAAAATGGCAGAAGGGTTTGGTTGTTGGTAAAGCGGGTGAGGATAGTGATATATTTAAAATGGTGAAAATGATTATTCAACGTCAATATGATCCCGTAATATGTTTTAGCTTCAGCAAAAGAGAATGTGAATTTCTTGCAATGCAGGTTTGTCTTTTCTGCTTTTGCTTAATTGATAATCACAATTCCCATGAATCCTTAATTCCTTATAGTGTTAGCTCAACTGTCCACTTATTTTTAGGAAATAAATTACATCTTACACATAGGATTTACTTTAATTAAATGTGTTCCATGAATTTATTTATATTTTTTTGGTTGTTCAAATGATTAACCCTCTTTGGTTCCGGACTAAATGCTATTCTTTTTGGAATATTTCTAGATGGCTAAAATGGATTTAAACAATGATGATGAGAAGGTGAACACTGAAAGTATATTTTGGAGTGCTATGGACATGTTGTCTGATGATGATAGAAAGCTACCACAAGTAAGTTGCTATCACGTCTTCACATCACAAGTGAAATAAAGTGCAGTTTCCATTATGATACATAATTGCTACTAAATTGTACAGTCTTCACATCCTTTTCTGTCTTTAGCTTCTTCTTTTCATTTTCGTGTGCTCTTTTTGGCTTGCATCTGACTGTGTAAGGAAAAGTGCATCTTCTTCATATTTAAATATTTTAACATGTATACAAATTTGAATTTAAGGGATGTGGTTGATGATACTATTATATATTTATACCTATGGACATATCTCAGGTTTCAAACATGCTACCCTTACTGAAACGTGGAATCGGTGTACATCATTCTGGGTTGCTTCCTATATTGAAAGAAGTGATTGAAATCCTATTCCAAGAAGGGTTTATTAAGGTTGGTGAAACTATTTAGAATTATGTTAGCTATTGTATTTTTTTCTTTCCCCGTTTTTGACGTATCTATACTCGCTCTGAATGACATGGATTTATGTCAGTGGTCAGTATTGTCTTCTTTCTATTGGCTTCTCAGTTTGTGCACTGTGAGCAGACATCTAAAACTTACGTAACCTGGCTTTTTTGGTGCTTTCTTTTGAATATATAATAAGAGACTGAAGTCATATGTGATTAAACACATCTATCGCATTGTTCTCGTGTTTGTGGGAAAAGTCAGAAGAAAATTACATTTCACTTTCAGGATATGTTCAGAGATCATTGGGCTCTATATCCAACTATTTTTTTTTTTTTCTGGGGGGGTTTATATTTGTTACTTCTCATTCCATACTGACCATGATGATTAGTTTCCGCTTGTGAAACTATTCAAAGATCATTACTTGAATTCATATATTGATAATTTTATTTTAGTGTTTGTTTGCCACAGAGACCTTTAGCATAGGGTTAAACATGCCTGCAAGAACTGTTGTCTTCTCAAATGTGCGCAAATTTGATGGAGATAAGTTTAGATGGATATCCAGTGGTGAATATATACAAATGAGTGGGCGTGCTGGTCGTCGAGGAATTGATGACCGGGGGATTTGCATCCTGATGGTTGATGAGAAGCTTGAACCTTCTACAGCTAAATTGATGCTAAAAGGAAGTGCTGATCCATTGAATAGGTATTGATTCTTGGTTGGACATTGCCGCAATCTTAACATCTTTAGTGCCTTTGTTTGTCTAATTTTTCCAGCATGTCTGATATTTTACCTTTGTATTTGAGTTTCTACTTCTCTTCCTGATAAACCTTTTTTTGCAACCAATGAATATTCCTCATTTCTAGCTAGCCTTATTTAAGCTGCCAGACAGCCTAATTTTGTATTTTCAGGATTACATGTCTGATGTCTTGTTGTAAGCTCCCTCCTGTCTGTGTGCATGTGCACTTATACTCATTGCTGATTTTTGCAGTGCTTTCCATCTTAGCTACAACATGCTGTTAAATCAGATACGATGTGAAGATGGTGATCCTGAAAATTTGCTTAGGAATTCATTTTATCAATTTCAGGCAGACCGTGCAATTCCTGATCTTCAGGTCAGTTGAGTGGTACTAATATTTCTTTTATTTTTTGATCTACTTTTGTTACATTTTGGAGCTGTGCTTGCAGAAGCAAGCAAAAATACTTGCAGAAGAGAGAGACTCAATTCTTCTTGAAGAAGAAGATAGCTTGGAGGATTATTACTCTCTGTTACAACAGCACAAGAGCCTAAAAAAGGATGTTCGAGACATAGTCTTCTCTCCAAAGTATTGCTTACCTTTTCTGCAGCCTGGCAGGCTTGCTGGTGTATACTGTACAAATACAAATGAAAACGTTCCCTCCTTCTCCATCAAAGAAAACGTGACATGGGGAGTCATCATTAACTTTGAGATGGTAAAAGGCCTTTCTAAAGGTGAGATGAGTCCAATTTGATACGATTTTCATTGATTTTCAAGTTCTTATGCAGTTATTCTATGTTCATTCAGATGATGAAGATATGAAACCAGAGGATGCCAACTACACAGTAGATATTCTTACTAGATGTGTGGTGCATAAAGATGAACTTGGTAAAAAATCCACTAAAATTGTTCCCTTAAAGGATCCTGGGGAAGCTGCTGTTGTTTCTGTTCCATTATCCAAGGTAAGCTTATGCTGTATGTGGATTTCCTTATATGGAACCATAATATGTGGCATACCATTTACTTATTTCTATTGGTCCTTATTTTGAAAATTGTCTGTATTCTTTCAGTTCTTAAAATATTTACTCCCTGGATCCCTTTTTTAATGGGTAGTTGTGTTTGGCACAATTTTTAAGGGAACAAGCAAGATGTGATATTATTTCCCAATATGCCCTTCCAAATGGACCCACCTAGTCAAACAATTTAAAAAGTTAAAATGTATTAAGGGTAAATGGAAAAAGTAAAAAGTTAGTGGCGCTTAAATTAGGAAAGTGGACAATTGTTTAGGGACAGGCTAAAAAGGAAAGAATGACAAATAAAGTGGGACAGAGGGAGCATTTATTTTTTATGAAGTAATAATAGGTTGAGTAGCATTTGCTGCAGCCTCAGCATTTTATGACCCTTTTGAAACTGACAATTAAGAAATTGGTGTCTATATTTTACTTTTACCTTGCTTCTGAATATCATGTAGAAGCTGGAGAATATGGAGCCCTTGCATTTCTCTTTTTCCGGTTGGTTGTTTGTTTTTTTGTTTGTTCTTTGTTCACTCTTGCTTTACACAGTGTCTTTTGTAAAATTGTTATAAAAGTAGTTCTCTCTAGAGAAAATGACTTCTAGTCCTATCTGGCAAATTGCTTATACCAGTGATAAGTTCAGCTTGCCTTTACTGTACCTGTACAAATGTAGTCCCTTATCACTGTACCCTATATTTATCCTGAAACATATCTCAACAGATTGACAGTTTGAGTAGTGTTCGCCTGAAAATACCAAAGGACCTTATACCATTGGAAGCTCGAACTCATACCTTGAAAAAGGTTTCTGAAGTTCTCTCTAGATATGCTAAAGAAGGCGGTATGCCTCTCTTACACCCAGAAGATGACATGAAGGTATTTCAGCCCAACCTTATGTTTTAGCAGTTTAAAAACTTTGGGTTTTCATTCAATTAACACATGTTCTTCAGGTTAAAAATAGCTCATACAGTAAGGCTGCACGCAGGATAGAGGCATTGGAGAGCCAGTTTGAAAAGCATGACATATCAAAATCACCTATTATTGAGGAAAAGCTTAAAGTTTTGCACAAAAAGAAAGAGCTTACAGCCAGAATCAAATCAATCAAGAAAGCATTGCGTTCATCCTCCGTCTTAGCTTTCAAAGATGAACTTAAAGCCAGGAAAAGAGTCCTCAGGAGACTTGGGTAATAAGATCACCACTCTAGTTATATAAATTTAATTTTTTCTGTTGTGAATAGTCTATGTATCTTAATTCCTGCAACAACTTTGAGCTGAAGTGAGAAAAAAAAAAAGTGCCATAGTGTATGAATGCACAGGAGCAGAGAAATTAATTTGGGTTAACAGAGTTAATCAACAGTGATACTTGAATGAAATTATGATGACGTGGCACAATCTTATCCTCAGTATGGACAAGTCTGGAAAGCATGCTCTAATTGTTTATATATTCTCTCTTCTAAAGATCATAAATATACTTATCTAACAGTCGAACATCTCCCCATCCTTAATAGTGACAAATCTATCAATTGTAGTTAGGTTCTTTGTTTCGGTCTTAATCTTGTTCTTCGCTTTGTCTGATTTTTCTTGATATCTTTTATAGATTCACAAAATTGGAGAACTCTTCACTTTTTACTTCATATGGCATTCTCTTTTTGTAAAGGATCCCTTCAAAGTGATTAAATGGTTTGTGAATGTACAGATACATCAGCAGAGATGATGTTGTAGAGTTGAAGGGGAAAGTAGCCTGTGAAATCAGCAGTGCAGATGAACTGACTCTGACTGAGCTTATGTTTAATGGTGTGTTCAAGGAAATTAAAGTAGAGGAGATGGTAGCTCTGCTTTCTTGTTTTGTGTGGCAAGAGAAACTTCAGGATGCTCAAAAGCCCCGGGATGCGCTTGAGTTGCTGTTCACACAATTACAAGATACAGCTCGGAAGGTCGCCAAAGTTCAGCTTGAGTGCAAGGTACTTTGTTTTTGCTGCTCTGCATTTCCATTTATTGGCCAAAAGTCGATGATTTTTATGATTTCCTTCTATGTGCTCTCTACTTCTGTTGATGATCTTTTCTGTTATGCTTATTACAGGTTCAAATAGATGTTGAGAACTTTGTGAGTTCTTTCCGACCTGATATCATGGAAGCTGTCTATGCTTGGGCTAAGGGATCCAAATTTTACGAGATCATGGAATTCACTCAGGTCTTTGAAGGCAGTTTAATTAGGGCTATCAGGAGATTGGAGGAAGTTCTTCAACAACTAATACAAGCTGCACAATCTATCGGAGAAACCGAACTTGAATCCAAATTTGAAGATGCCGTTAGCAAGATCAAGAGGGATATCGTCTTTGCTGCATCGCTTTACTTGTAATACGCATACTTAAAGCCTGTTCGGCAAATGTTGAACTAGTTGACCAACCTTGAGGGTGGAAATCCCTACCCATTCTGCAACAGGATACCTACCAGAGGTGAGATCTCTATGAAGGACAGACATGGAAATACTGGGTAAGCTAAAGATTTATTTTTGCACATTCCATGGCATCCCTCTTCACAGATTACTCAGCTCGGAATGAGACACAATTTACATGGCCACGGTGAGGCTTCCATTTTTGCCCTTTGGTACCAAAACACCAGGCTTACTTGATTGTTGTTATCAGATCCATAAAATGATCAATTTGTGTTATAACAGCAAGTAGTGTCAGAATTTTGTGGACAAGATTAGTTACTGATCCAACTATAACATGGATGGAATTTTTGGATATTACAATCATGTATACAATTTTTTCCCTTATTTACCATAAGTTTGCAGTTGCTCCTCGAATTTGCATTTTGGGTGAAGCCGGCAACCAAGAAGGTAAATAGACAGCTCCTACAGAAAGTCAAATTTGGAATCTTATGTTTACCAAATCAATTGCCTGACTAACTTAGCTGAAGTTATTTTTATTACTTTCGGTTTTTCGTTTTCTAATTTACTAGAATTGCTCTAGCCATGTTTAAGTGGATCATGTATATGTGGTGATGATGATTGATTGTGAAAATTAATGATTTGAAAAGTATCAAAGATCAGGAGATGCTTTTTCCACAGATCAGCAAAATATAATTAAAGCCTCATAATTCTATTTTAAAAAATAACAAAGTGTAATCGGAATACAATGTGTACATAAAGCATAGATCATGAGATAATTTGCCAGAGATGAGCAAAATATGAAGCCCACAAAATTTCAGCTAATATAATCAATGAAGAAGCTGCAGTTATCACACTTGCAAACTGGAAGGAACGGCTGCCAGCATTCGATTCAGAACCTGAAGAAAACATGCATTCAAGAATCAAGAACCAAGTATATAATAAGACATATATATGCATATAACATGTTTGTTTCATAGTATAATTGTCTAGCTAGACCAATGACATGCATGCATACCCTGAAAGCCCAGCATATAGGCTTCCAAAGCCACAAACCTCAGCCAAGTTGATCAAGCAGTTGACTTAACAATCACAATATTACAAGTTTGACTCCCAGCCAAAGCGACCTATTAGCCTTCTTGATTTGAGACACTCAGAAGTAATCTAGGCCGATTTACCTTACCTCCTTGTGGCCCTAGGGGCCTATTGATCTTCTCGATTTGAGGTAGTCAACTACAGGCAATCTAGGGATTCTAAGCTGATTTACCTTATCTCCTTGTAGTCCCTTGCCCTTAAGGTAACAAGGCGAGTATACACCTTGTCGGGCAAATTTCTAGAGAAACTCACTCCAGTCAATTAAGCTGGTCAGACTGTTGCAAGCTTATATATGGTCATTTGATAACAAGGCGGGATTTAGCAAGAAAGAAGTATACCTTGAACGCATCCAATGTAGTTAACACGCTGGCCACATCTAGCGGGCAACATCTGAGCCTGGTTGATATCAATCCCGGCCTTCTGAGCTTCATTGCTGCCACGGACACTGACCATTTGACACAGGCATTCCGGCATGTTCTTTATCACATCCTTCAACGGGTCGCAGCAGCTGCTGGGCGGGTCTCGGCTCCCGTTCAGGTACTGCATGCAAGGCATCAGCTTGTTTATGCACTTCTGGCTATTCTGAGCTTCACTTTCTACAGCTAACCCACAAACCACAATCACTGCCACGCCAAAAACGCCCCAAAAACACCTCATTCTCATCCTCAATAACCTTAGTTTCAGTAGCTAGCTAGTGCGATAGATAATCCGCATAAAATGGAGGGTGGGTTTTATATATGGAGGGGTTGATTTGACTTTGATGGTTAAGAGTTGGTGATCTAACACTAACGTTAGTTGATTGGTGTTTTATGACTTCTGTGGGTTGCTTGAGATGGCGGTGTAAATTGACAGTTGGATAAGTTGATGAGCTACTTTATATCACAAACAATCCAACCCCATATATGCCTGGCTTTTCCATTTAGGTGTTCATTGACTTTTTTTTTTTTTTTTGGAGGTATTTAATAAGAGACTAATTGATTGTAATAACTTATTAATAAAGAAAAAAAGTTAAATAAACCCCTAAACTTTACCTAAAAAGTCAATTAACCTTTTAAATTTTTAAAAAATACAATTATACCCTTTAACATGTTATATTGAGGCAATGAATACAAAAACCGGTAAAAATGACTTACTATTACATGTCATTAGGGTTTCGACATCAATTTTATCCATCTCCGACGACCAGCGATGGCCGAATCGTCGCCGATCGCCGTCTACCAGAGAAGGCGACCAACTGGCTGCTTTCCCCGGCAGAGCGATCAATTGGTCACCTTGGTCGCTCTGCCGAGGAAGGCGACCATCTAGTCACCTTCTCTAGTAGACGGCGACAGTTCGGTTGTCGCCGAAGATAGATAAAATTGATGTTGGAACCCTAATGACCTGTAATAGCATGTCATTTATCAATTTTTGAACTTTATTGCTTCAATATGACATGTTAAAGAGTGTAATTGCACTTTTAAAAAATTTAGGGGGTTAATTGACTTTTCAGATAAAACATTTAGGAGCTTATTTGAATATTTTTCCTATTAATAAAAATTAAAATTTTGTAATTAAGATACCAATTTTGTTAAGAAATACAAATAACAATTTTATTACATTTTGGAGTGAATGTTAGTCTTCAGGATGCTTGTGAGCGAGAAATGGAAGTGCGAGCATTAATAGAGAGAGAGAGCAAACATGATGCTACAAATTCTTGGACAATTGTTAAATGTAATTTATTAAATGACATAATAATGAGTGTTTCTCGAATGAGAAGAATAAGTCATGAATGGTTATTTCACATCCTAGTGTTCTTTTCGATTATACCTCTTATTGAGTATGATAAAAAGTCTCGAGACCTCTACCTGCATGTTTTATATACTCAAGACATGATCCTGGTCATCCCAACTAAGTTAGTCAAATAATTGACCTAATAATTACAAAATTATTCAACTTATCAGAGATTATCTATTGATCTTCTTTATTTAAATCATCAACAATAGATAATTTAGACTAAGTTATCTCCTTTGATTACCTAGAACACACCAATTACCCAAGACAACACATTTATTCTTTGCCTACATGAGCAGATCAATTGGTCACAAGAGTAAAGTTTGAAAACAATAACCCGAGATCGAGTCTAACCTCTTTGTTCAGTTGAGTTACCATGAATTAAATCTTTCCATGTACTCTATTGAAAAATAGAGAGAACATTGGAGCTGAAAATTAAACTTTTTTGGGAACAACCCATTTATTCCTTCTCAAAAAAAAAAAAAAAAAAAAAAAAAAGGGACCAACCTTAACCAATCGTATGCTATGGACCCGTGTCCAGCATGCATGCTGGACACGGATAATAGTGCCATTAGGCACTGTTATCTTCTATTTTTTTTTTAATTTTAGACCGCTTCGTTATAGGAGTATATGTTCATAATTTTATTACTATATGTTCATAATTGTTAATTTATAATGTAGAGCTCTATGTTCATAATTCCATAACTGTACATTCATACTTCCATAATTGTACATTCATAATTCAATAACTGTAACTTTATAATTTTCGAAGCTCTATGTTCACAATTTTAGAGCTCTATGTTCATATTGTAAGTTCATAATGTCAGAGCTCTGTGTTCATAATTGCATAACTGTACATTCATAATTTCGTAACTGTACATTCATAATGCAATAACTGTAAAATCATAATTTTCAAAGCTCGATATTCACAATTTTAGAGCTCTATGTTCATAATTTTATCACTATATGTTCATAATTGTAAGTTCATAATGTCAGAGCTCTGTGTTCATAATTTTATAACTTACATTCATAATTCCATAACTGTACATTCATAATTCCATAATTATACATTCATAATGGCACAAACGAATAACGCCGTTAACGGCGAGACAAAATCAAAATTATTTTTTTAAAATGAAATGACACATTTTCTCTAAAAATAACGTCGTTTTAGACTCGTGTCCACAATGCATTATGGACACGAGTCCACTGCATAATTTGCGAACCTTAACACCATATTATTCGACCCAATTATAAGGACTCCAAACCCATTTAAGGCTCACAAGCCCAATGCCGAAAATCATGGTCCATACAAGCGCAAATTATGCCCTAGACTTGTGTCCACAATATGTGTTTTGATTTTTCCTTTTGAGCACACTAATATTTTACCACATTATAATAATAATAATTATTATTATTATTATTATTATTACTATTATTATTATTATTAGTATTTTTCCCTGTGCATTGCATGGAATAGATTTTTATAATCTTTAAGAATATTTTGATCAATATACAAATATAAATTCTAACAACGAATATTATATAGTGCAATTGATGAAATAGGTTGTATAGATTATGTTTATTTGGTGTTATCCGTGCTTAAATTTGAACAAATAATTCTCCAATTATCCGTGCAGTGCACGTGCAATGCACGTATAATTTTTTTTATTATATATTTAGATAATAAAATTGTTACTATTTCTTTAATCATTTTAAAATTTGTTAAATATTCATTCAAATATGTGTGAATACTAATATAAAAAAGTCATAAGAAGTGAGATTTTTTTTTTTGAAATCTCAGTAAAAATTAATTCTGGAATCGAATCGGAGGAGGAAGCAAAGACGTGATCGCACAGAATTCTCTCTCCATTGAACAATGTCTTCATGGAAACATCTACAGCACCGAGCAAGCTCTTAATCTTCAGGTCTAGAACTTCCGGATCCATCTGCCGGACCTGCGAAGAGCTCATTTTCTCGACTCCGAGCTTGTGTAATCCTTCGTCTATGATTGATTTCCGAATTACTTTGTAGATTTTCAAGCACTCATTGGCGTATCCAGATGAGATCATGCACTCGGCAATCAATCTCAAATCCGTCATCGCAATGCTCGACGAATCTTCAACTTCGGCTATGCAATCGCCAGCGGCCCTGATTTCATCCTCCTCGTCGTCAACGTCGTAATCAGACTGGCTAGACTGAGTCGAGGCACGGGAAACGGATTCAAGATCAAACTGAGCTCGGTTCATGGAGAGAACCTGATAGAACTCCTTCTGGAATCTCTTCATTGCAATGTGCATAAGGTTTTGTCCACGGACGAGTTTGTCGAAGCTCGAATGCTCCATCTCCAGAAACTGCATCGCTTTCTGCAAATTATACACACACTTGATGAACCCTTTTGCTTCTCTGCGGTTCTCGTAGATCAACGAAGTGACCTTTGCGAAGTTAGACCCTTCCGGGTCCCATTCCGAGATCGGCGGCCCGAATACCTCGAGCGTCCGGTGCATAACGGAATCCAAAAAACTCCGCCTCAATGACGAAGAAACTCGAGAATCAGTGGCGGATGGCGTCGAGGAACGCTTGGGTGGACAGAAAATCGTCCACATGCCTTTTCTGATATTGTTGGGATAGTGCAATTTATGAAATGGATTGTATCGATCATTTTTTTTTTGTTGTCCTTGCTTGAATTTGAGCAAATAATTCTCCAATTATTCGTGCACGTGCACGTGCGATGCACGTATAATTTTTTTTATTTAGATAATAAAATTGGTACTATTTTTTAAATCTTTTCAATACTTGTTAAATATTCATTCAAATACGTGTGAATACTAATATAAAAAGCATAAGAAGTGAGATCATGCACTCGGCAATCAATCTCAAATCCGTCATCGCAATGCTCGACGCATCTTCAACTTCGGCTATGGAATCGCCAGCGGCCCTGGTTTCGTCCTCAACGTCGTAATCAATTTGCTGGACTGAGTCGAGGTACGGGAGACGAAATTCAGGATCAAAATGAGCTCGGTTCATGAAGAGAACCTGATAGAACTCCTTTTGGAGCCTCTTCATTGCAATCTGCATCAAATTTTGTCCGCGGACGAGCTTGTCGGAGCTCGAATGCTCCATCTCCATAAACTGCATCCCTCTCTGCAGTTGATGAACCCCTTAGCTTCTCTGCGGTTCTTGTAGATCAACGAAGTGACATTTGCGAAGTTAGACCCTTCCGTATCCCACAGGCCCGGATTTTGGGTTATGCAAGATGGGTTACTGCATAGGGTCCCAGATTTTAGAGGGCCTCAAATTTTAGAAGCTCAATATTTCATTTTTATCTAGTTAGTTTAGAAATAAAAACTAAAAGTTTTCAATTAAATTTAAATGATTTCATGAAGAAATGGTAGGAACATGTGTTTATTGTGTTTCAACTTTGAGGTCTAAGGTTTAAAACTTGTGTACATGATAAGTGCATAATTGTTCATATTTATACCCCATATTTAACCTTGTTTTGTTTATGAAGTGTCACAATGTTGTTCAAAATGATCTTTATTTTGCTCATTTGATCCATTATGCACAATTCATTATCTTTGAGTAGAAATGAAGGATTTTAGATCATGTTGGAGTCAAGGGGAGCCAAGGTGAAGCTAAGGAGATGGATGCAACACTTCCAAAGGAGCCAAAGAGTGATGTATTCAATAGTGTTGATCATATGGACAAATTAAACCAAGGCAAAAGTGGAACAAGTGTCAACAAGTTGAAATTCTCGCATGGATTGGCCACTATTCTGTTTTCGGGCCATATCTCGGTCTACAAATATCCAAATTATGTGATTCTTGTCCCATTGGAAAGACGACTCAAAGATCTACAACTCATATTCAGACATCAAATCCTAAAAAGGAAGTCACAGAGTTCAAAATTATCCTTGAAGTTGAAGTTTCAAACTTACAATCCAAAACTGACCACTGTTTGGTTTTTGGACCATATCTCGGCTTATAAATATCCAAATGAAGTGATTCTTGTGCCATTGGAATGAAGACTCGAAGGACTACAACTTTCATGAAGACCATAGTTCCAAATTATGACGTTTTGAATGCCAAAAGACACGGCCAAGTGCACGGTCGTGTCTGTGACCGTGTATTTTCTGTGCATTCCAGTAGCTACTGCTGTTTTGGACAAGGCCAGGGACATGTCCATGTCCCTGGCCGTGTCACCTCTGCTGCAACTTTTTATAAGTCCGTTTTTTGTCATTTTTACTTGGTTTTGACTCTTGTTAGAACCCTAGACACTCTCTTTCATTCTCCTTCATATTTTTAGGTTAGATTAGGCTTAGATTTATGTTTCTTAACACTTTTGAAGCTTGTAATCTTGGATTTGAAGCTTGGATTCCAACATTTCAAGATTTACCATCCATTTCTTAGTGAAGTTTTCTTCTCCCTTTTATCTCTTTATCTTGCAATGTTTATGCTTTACACTCATGTTCTTGTGTTCTTTATGCTATTTAATCATGAGTAGTTAGTTTATGGACTTGAGTTAGGGTTGTATTTCATATCTTGATGCTTAGTTTGTGATTATTGTAAAAAAAGGGAAGAACACTACCTAGGGTTCATGTATTTATGAAGGTGTTGTGTTTATATCTTGTTAATGTTTGATGTACACATCCATTAGCTTGTTTTTGGAGGATTCTTTGCCTCAACGAGAGTTGGGTGATGAATCCAAGCCACCCCTTGCATAGACCCGATTTCTTCCTACGAAAATAGGGGAAATTTGGGGGCTTTAGATGCTTTGTGTGCTTGATGGACTTGGAATTGATTCACCACGAACGTGGGGCGATTCCTTGTTCTAATCCTTGTTTATTAATCATGAGAATGGTTCGTAGACTAGGATACCTACGTGCATTCCCGCTTGATTCCTTGGTTACTTGTTTTCCCCAATCCTTAGGTTGTTAAAGCATCTAGAAGAATAGAAGATAATGCTCCCTAGCTTGAGTCCTATTTCTTTATTTCGTGTTTACATCTTGTTATATGTGTTTGTGTTACTTTGTTTAGTTACCGTAGCCTCAATCTCATTATTATTTGCTTAGCTTCTTGTTGATTTCCTTATGCTAGTGCCTAGTTTCTTGTGATTGCATATTGCGTGTCATAACCCCCAATCCCCTGAGGACGACATTACACACCCGAGCTCACATCTTATTTTTGCTACAAATCAGTACATTAGACATGTTTATGAGACTTACAACACATTTCATATTTCTAAAAATATTGTTGGATGAAAAGGTGTTGATGAAACTGGGACAGATGCAGTAATTTTTTTTCTTATGAAGGTCACCGCATACAAAGTCATGTCTAGATTTTAAGATCCTATACTTATAGAATTATATTTTTTCAAAGAAAATTGAAATTAATTTTCAATCTCATTTGTATTTTATATATATATATATATATATATATATATATATATATATATATATATATATATATATATATATATATATATATATATATATATATATATATAAAAGGAAGGGTTCAGGTGCGGGTATAGCTTCCTGTGCGGTTGTGCGGTTAGATCTGAGCTGTTGATCAAATTTAGATCAACGGCTCAAATCAATAAAAATTATAAAAAATAAAAAAAACGCGTGTCGGGAAGAAGATAGCTCCTACACAGTGTCTACACAAACGATAGCGTCTACACAAATGATAGCGTCTACACACAGCGTCTACACATAGCGTCTACACAACCTCACGCACATTAAGTACAAACCCCATACACATTAAGCACAGCCTTCACGCACATTAAGCACAAACCACACGCACTTTAAATATTAACTCACATATTTTAAGTTTCAACATCTATTGACATTATTAAGCACAACCTCACGCACATTAAGTACAAACTCCACACACATTAAGCACAACCTCACGCACATTAAGCACAAACCCCACGCACTTTAATATATTAACTCACAGATTTTAAGTTTCAACAACTATTCACATTAAGCACAACCCCACGCACATTAAGTACAAACCCCACACACATTAAGCACAACCTCACGCACATTAAGCACAAACCCCACGCACATTAATCACAGATCCGCTCACCTTAATTTTGACCTACATGCAAAAATTACAAAATTACCACCGCATTTTTTTTTTTTAAATTTTGACGTTTTTGGACGTTAATTTAAGCGAGATGAATGGTCCAGATTAAACCGCACAACCGCACCTGGGCACCCTAACCGCACCAGAACCTAAATCTATATATATATATATATATATATATATATATATATATATATATATATATATATATATATATATATATATATATATATTTGTTCCGTCAAATAATTGTCAAGCGTGTAAATGAAAACATAATTCTTAAATAAAAACTTTATAAATGAATAAAGTTCATATTTTCCTTTTTATATATGAAACTTAATAACATTAATAGTTTTTATTATAAATATTACAACAATACTTCATATTTAGTTATATGAGTTTAGATCATGCAATAGAATTACTAGATTCACATGTTAAAACAACATATTAGAGATGTATAATTTCTTTATAAAACTGATACATCTCATTTACAAAAAAAAATAAAATAAAATAATACAGATACAAAGTGTAATTTATATTTTATTTATATTTATTCAAGGATTTTTTTTTAATTTTTAAAAACAATTGATTCATTGCAATGATTATCTTATTAGTTAGAAATTGTTATACATATTTTTTTTTGAAATAAATTAATTTTAAATGAGGTCTATTATACTCGATTAAGGTATGCAAATTCAACTATAATTAATAGTGTAAAAATGTAGAATTTATTTGAGATGGTTCTCTTATTACTAAGAAAATGTTAGTTTACTTCTTATTAGCATTGAGAATAACATCATACTAATCTATCATTCTTTCCAAAAGATTGAACCGCAATTCTAAGGGCCCAACAGCGTATCTGGATTCTGAGAGGATATAAAATAAAATATGTATGTGCAACTTAAGAGAGAAAACCATCGAGTATTGGGGTACACAAAAAGTACATTTTTTAATATATTACATGTACATTATTTTTGTACTGTATGTACATTATTTTTATATTATATGTACAATATATAATAAAATGTACACTCAATACAAAAATAATATACATCTCTTGAATACAGTGTACATTATTTTTGTTCTGAATATATATTATTTTTGTACTGAATATACATTATTTTATACTATACAAAATATGGTTATACAATTTGTGTGGGCCAAAATGATTGTCTAACCTTTTACTATTCCTTTTTGTCATTTTCTTGATGAAAACAAGAGGGCAAGTAAAATGAACACAAGTGTGAACTCGCCGAAAGGCTAAATCCAGAAAATTCAACGCATACATCTGAACCTAACACCAAACACATCACGCATCATGGAAGATGTTGATAATACACACATTTATCACAACAACGTTAAAAACACCTTAAAAGTGACGGCACACAAAGAACAAGTCAGACTCAAACAAACTCATATTACAAACACAATTTTTTTCCTTCAACCACTATTCATACACGTGATAACTGATAAGACCCCAGTTGAAAAATGCAAGGCTATGGCTATCTACTTACTATATATATACACAGAAGCCACCTATTACGATGACACGCTTTTATTATATTGAAGAAAAAAAAAACTTACAAAAATCCCCAAAAAATTAAAATAAATAAAGACGAGTATCTGTCCACCTCCACATTAGAGGCGGTAGGTAGTCCACGCTTTCTTCTCCATAACTAACTCGAGTCCAGACAAGAAAAACGTACAGAAACCATGAAAACAAAGACACTACTAGGATAGGGATAGGAGTTCTTATCTTTAGTGCACAGACTGTGTCTTGCCAGCTATCTGATCTTTCTTCCCACCACCACCACACGGTAAGTTAACTAACAAAATCGGCCCTTTCAGCATGAGTTATGTGTCAGGCTCAACAACGCTTGCAGTCAAAATAAAAATCACGAGGGGGGTATGTCCTCCGGTCCCGTGTTATTACTTTGTCTTCTGAAGAGTGAGGGGGTAGGTAGGCGTCATGCCTGTTCCTCGGTGCTGTTTGGAGCAGCATCTGAAACTGGCTTGCATGGTTTAACGTCCTTG